GTGGAAATGAAGTGGCAGACAGGGCAGCAAACCTTGCGCACTCTAATGACCGCACAGCAAGATCTCAACTGTGCTTTGAGGAATGGATCTTCACTGTGAAGTCACTCACCAATCAAGAATGGACTCACAAATGGTCAGATGACGTACAAGAAACAGGAAAAGGGACCTTCTGAAGAAGCTTGGGACCTGAGATATCTTATGTGGACTATGGATCGCTGCCACGCTCAGTTGAATGCGCTGTGTCACGTCTACGCCTTGGGCATGCTGGCGTCAATGCTCATCTGACCAGATTCAATTTAGCTGACTCAAGTAACTGCCCAATATGCAATGTGGAGGGCACAATCGGGCACCTCATCCTGCACTGCACACAATTCATCAACCAGCGAAGAGATTTCCATACTAGACTGGAGGGCCTTTCTCTGCCCTGGGATCTCTCCTCAGCTCTCGGCGGTGGGGATGCCCCAATGCTGCCATCCGACATCTTGGTCAATATTTGCCTAACTGCAACATGGTGACCAGGCTGTAAATATTCTACCAAGCCTAATTGTACCTTTTCTTTTCACAATTTACTGCTGCACTGGCTGGTGGAGGTGCTAGAAAGTAAAGAGATCTAAAAGTGAAGTGAAGTGTCCAAAACCCCATTTGTGCTCAGGCTGGGAGGTGTGCTACCGGCATACCCGAAGCCTACAAGTCAATTATAAAAAATCATATGTTTATGTTAGGCTACACGCTTTTCAGACTAAACTTTAAGCTATGACATGTCATTGTGTCTTAACTCATTCGTGTTAATTACTTAAGTGTTTCTTATTATTAAAATGAAATATTAGATTTTGAAATTCAGTATGAATAATTGAAATATGATTTAGAATTAGCGGTTTTGGACAGCCTTGGAAATCTATCTTTGTTCTCGATGTTAATGATAAGTTTTTCATTCTGGTAAATTTTTCAATGCATCCGAATCATTTGGTACTGAATTTTACCTAGTTTAAGCTTGAAGGCAAGTTAAACTTGAAGATGCAAGCCAAACCAAACCACATGACCATGTTATGTATAGCCTAATTTTGCAGAGAGTCATCGACTCATCAAAGTTCTTGCTCAATAGAATACCTAACTTATTACATTTCAGCAGAGATCTTTTCATTAAGTTGGCTCTAGACTTTTAAATTATAATAAAAAATGGACTTGTCAGGCAATAATATGGGGCCTGGTGCCCAAACAATTACTCTGATGAAAATAGGCTACTATCAAATTGGCCCTACACTTGGAAAAGGAACTTTTGGAAAAGTGAAGTGTAAGTACCTATACTTTTATGATTAACCAGATTTAGTTTATAGTAATTTCATGAATTATATCCAGTGTTATAAAACTACTTTTTGTCCTAGCTAGTGCAAATTTCATAGCATTTCAGTAGGTACAAGGTATAAAGGAATAATTTGTACTAATCTTACTGCCATTCTGGACTCCTGGATAATTAACATAGCTAGGTAACATAACATAGTGATGTTGGCACTAAAAAGTAGGCCTGATGTAGCCTGCTGCTGAATTGGGCATGATTTTCCAAAAATTACCTCCATAAAATTATAAGATTCTTTCATGTATCATGTATGAAATGCTTAAATTTCTGACAAAAATTATGCCATTTTTTTTTCATTCATAGCAAAGGCCTGGCATGGAATTATTACATGGTGGCAAACCAGTGATTTTTTAGAATCGGTTCATTTTTAATTTCCTCATTTACTTGAGATTTTAACAGATTTCTTATGTATGATAATTCTGGTATCCAAGATAGGTACTTTACTGGTCTACTTACCTATAAGTTATAGGACTCAAAAATGAACTTGAGGAAGAGTCTAAAAAACTCTCTGCCCTGCCACTATGATGGATTTGAGCCATGAGTCATGGCTCAAAATGTATTATTGTTAATGTATTATTTTACAATTTAGGTACATCAACCAGCCCATGACTAGTGAGTTCAAGTTGACTACTGACTGTCAATGCCACTAATCTTGTAGGCTTGCCAGCCAGCCAGCAGCATAAAAGTTGCCAGCCATCAATTGAAACAAAATATTTTCTAAAGAAAACAGTTTTATAGTCAACATCATCATTCATTAACAACATGTGATGTAAAATTATTATTAATAAATCCCATAAATTGTGGTTCTGATAAGCATTATAAGGTCTGGGGGCAGGGGGGGGGGGAACTGCAAGATCTAGGGTAAACGCGGTATATTCTGGCACTTTAAGGACGTAGCAAAGAATGAATGGCTATAAAAAAATCACCATACGTGCAACTTGAGTTCTGTTTGCTTTACATCACTCTCCAAACACCGCACTATGCGCCAGCAACAATGAAACGTCACAAAATGTTGCCATATTTATTTAAAAGCCTTTAGAATGCAAACCTACCAAGTCCATATATTCCGACACAGTGCAACACTGTGTGTGACTAAATTTGGCATTTTGTGAGACTAATCCAGCCGCACTTCAAACTACTAATTCATAATTCCGACACTCTTGTGTTCAAATTCCAATCCCTGTGTGAGCTGTATTGGAATATGACACAGCTTGGAATTGGAACACTATTGACTATTGAACACTACTTATTTAGGCTTTTAATTAAGAGCTATTAAGCTTTTAATTAAGAAAATTTTAATTTTTGCATACAGCTTGGAACGAGCTGTGTGTGTCTATAACAGTCTCTTAACTTAATCATCTATTAATTTATTTATAACTTGAAGTCAGCAAATACAAGCATACTTAAAGGATTTCTAAAATATTCACAGACTTATTTAAAAGTCTCAAACCATAATATTCTGTCTACACAAACAGTTTATCACTATTTGGTAGAGCAAGGTCAACTATCAACTTTGACACATTTTTTGATGTTCTTGCTGGGTGACGTGCACTGTCTCTCTTTGGATCTCAACATTTTCCCATCAGATGGCCCAGACCTAGTGTTTTGGCAATAGTATGGCACGCAAGAGTATGACGTCACTATTTCAACCAACAACAAATGCATGGAACTTAAAAAAAGCTTAATATAAAGGAAAAAAGTCGAGAAGTGTCGGCACTCGGCATTACCCATGATGTCAGAATATACCGCGTTTACCCTATACAGTTCTTACTTGCTGAGTGGCAGCAGTAAAGCTTTCCTACTATTTTTGGAACTGCAAGGTTCCTGCTAGACGTATTAACTGCCATCTAATTTTAAAATAAGCAGCACAATCAAGATGCACGATTCCAAATTTATTGAATATTTGTTGCTTTGACTTGGACAATACAATGTTAAAGGTCCTTTATGGTCCTGTTCATCGGTCAACAACTTTTACAGCACTGTCATGCTGCAGTGTCTGTTTGAAGCTGTTCTGAAATTTATTACTTGTAGCATGACAGGCTTTACAGGGCCATGCTGTCCTTTCAGAAACTGTCAAACCTGCACTTGAAGATGTTTACCAAGGGTCAAAGGCAATGTGACAACCAACTCTGGCAGACTATTCCATGCAATAATTACTCACTCTGAAAAGAAGTTGCTGCATAAGTTTGGTCAACATCTGCCCTTTGCAAGCCTAAAAAATATAACTCAGTACTTACTGCAGTGAGTGACAGAGAGCGCATTTTATCGTTGACAAAAACTTGAGGTCACAGACGGACGGACAGACAGACTGACGGACATGGCTAGCACAATAGTGCATTTTTTCATAAATGAGAAAATGCGCTAAAAAGTGGTCTCTAGTATCCTTGTTGCTGGATAACTGGACCTGAGGCTTAGACACCTGTTACGGTCTGTGCAATGTGCATGTATCGATATCACCCCGCATGTAACATCACCCTTCTAGTATTGATAAGGTCATCCCACACATATGAAAACCCTTGTTTGTATCAATAAAGTTGCCCTGCAGGCACCTGCACGCAAGGCAGGAGAGGTGCAATGCTTCTAGCTCCTTGGAGTATGGCAAGTTTCTGATCAAGGAGAGGAGTTTGGTAGCCCATCTCTGAACATCTTCAATGTCAGCACATGACACAAGGCCACAGTGTCAAGGAGCCACAAGATTTCAGTTAAAAATTGGAATTAGGAAGAAATCCTATCCTAGGCAAAGGTCCTAAAAGGGGCTGGAATTGTCTGCAATATAGTGGGAAAGGAGAATTTATTTAGAAATCAGATCATTGTGAATTTTCTGATCCACTTCAAGATTTTGTTCAAAACATGTTAGGCCAATCTAAAAGATTAGGCAGAATTGAAAAAATTGCAGTTAAAAAAGATTGTGTCCCTGGGGATTTTTGAAGAATATAGGCAAAAATGAGCTGGTTCAGCCCAAACCATATGGAGAAATTATTCAAGGGCTACATGAATGGGTAACATTGACTGTAGTTTGTAGGCATGGGAATTTATATCTTATCCATGTTACTGGTTTACTTGTATAACTTGATACAGGTCAACAAAAAAGTCTTTTGTTTGCCACTATAGACATCACAAGCCATGTGCAGGGAGATGTGCAAGATACTTGGGAATTTAGGTTATCATTTCATCAATATACACTGTGCGCCAAAATATGTTGAGAAAAAATGCACTGTGTACCAAAAATAGTTTAATCATGGAATGGATATAGGCTGGGCAATGGCATGCAAACAGATAATAATGATTTGCAACTTTGCACATATATGCATTAATGACTGCCATGAATGTATCACATACATGTATTAGTGATGGTACAAAGTTCAATGCCTGCATTCATCAACATCAGCAGCAGCTTTGGCTATGTAATGTTGCAATTTCATCCTCTCACCATGTTGCAATTGTTGCAATTCAAAGCAGCATATTAGTGACTATAGTACGGTACATAGTTTAATGGATGTTGCAGCTGGAGCTTAGGCTGGGCAATGAATCCAATGATGCGATCATATCTCCTCTCATCATGGCTTTGCATGTATGTATATTACTGACCTACATAGTTCCATGCCTGCTGCTGCTGACAGCTGTGGCAGCTGCGGCTTTGCAATGACACAGTCATATTCTTGTGCCTTGTGGACATGCACATGTGCATATTAGTGATCATTACTGCTCTTAGTGCCGGCTGCTGTCAGCTGCTGTCAGCTGCTCTGCAAGGCCTTCTGTGTGAATTTATCAGATTGACTTAGTCTTTCATTGAACATTGCTTTCAGGAAGGTCATTTTGCATCAGAAAATTCCCCAAAAACCTACATCCTGAGGTTTCTGGGTTTGAGTGTGGTTCACAGCCCAAGCGCAGTAATTTTTGTCTAAATCAGCAGTGGTTACTGCCTGATTTTCTAGCTTGATCATATTGGATCTATTGAATCAAATCACAATAAATAGAACTGCACATTCCTATTGTAACTTGGCCCAATTTTTGGACCTGTGCAGAAAAAAAAATGGGCAATAACAATCTCCAGAAAATGGTGCCACCATTGCTAGAATTTTTCCTTGCAAGTGCATTGAAATTATTCATAATGAATTGTCACTCAAATGTCAACTCCTCAAATATTTTTATCCAATCCAGTCCTCATAGTTTTGCAATGCCTCACAACTTTTATTTGATTCTTTATATTAAGAATTAATCCAATTTTGATTACTTATATAGGCATGAAAATTATATCTAAGAGAATAAATAAATATACATATGCAGCATGCCAAAATTCTGTCAATGACGTTTAATTTTGTTTTAATCTATGAACATGCTATCAATTTCAAAGAACTAATTTGATTAACTGAAGAGTTAATGATGATGAGTTAGTATGTATGTTCATTGGTCTCATTCAAAATTTTCTCTGCCCAGATGGTGAGCATATTCTGACTGGCACAAAAGTGGCCATCAAGATCTTGAACAGAAGGCAGATCAAGAATTTGGATATAGTGGAAAAAATAAAGCGTGAGATCACAAACCTCAAGCTCTTCCGTCACCCTCACATCATCAAGTTGTAAGTGAGCTGGTTGCTTGTCAATCTTTGAAGGTGTATTATATAAACATACAAATGATCATAACTGTAGGTTCTGAAAATAGTATTCTATAAGTTGTGCCATTAGCATTATAGCATGCCAGGCTATAATACATGCCTCATTGTTAAGCCTCTGCTGCATGCTGAAACTAATTGTTATAGGAACTACAAACTATTTAATGTATTAATTACTACCTGAATTATGTTTAGAATCCTCTGGGATAAAATTAAATATTTTTTTTTGCTACTTTTTACTCTTTTTACTCATTACTCTTTTGTTTATTACCCTTTGAAGAATTTTTAAACTTGTTTGATATTGATCTTGAACAAATTTAGCATAGTTTATTTGCACTGCAAAAGTCAATTAAAAAAACTTGGTAAAATGTAAACATGTTCAGTGTTTCACTTGCAAAGGTGATAAAGTTAACTGTTAAGAGGGTGTCTGAACCATTAGCTATGTCCTTGATGTGCTTATTGCCACTTATGTTATCTGCGTGTTAAATTCCTAATTATATCAGATATCAGGTGATCAGCACACCTACTGACATCTTCATGGTGATGGAGTACGCATCTGGTGGTGAACTCTTTGAATACATAAAGAAGCAGGGCAAGGTAAAAATAATAATCTTTAATGCTATTAATATTTCATGGTGTCATATTTGTGATGAGCATGACTCCCTAGAAACAAAATACCAGTAGTAGAATAACAATTTTACATAAATCACAGAGTGATTTTCTAATGAATGATTATTTATCTTAAATTTTTTTCAACAGCTGAAGGAGAGCGAAGCTCGGAAATTCTTCCAGCAAATCATCAGTGGGGTGGACTACTGTCACCGCCACATGGTCGTGCACAGGGACCTCAAGCCCGAGAATCTCCTCCTTGACCACAACAGACATGTCAAAATTGCTGACTTTGGTAAAATAATGTGATTCTTATTGATGCAGTATTATCATTCATGGTTTAAATTTGTGCAACTATAAAATATGTATCATTTTTTAGTTATGATTTTGGGTTTTTATTAAGAGAAATTTAGTTAATTGGTAGTTATCAATGCTTGTACTAGATCCTGACTCATGAAGAATGCTAAATGAGGTACCTATGTATGCCTCTTCGTTTTCTGTTCTTTTGCAATATGAAACAATCATAACCAATATGAGCTGGGTATTTCTAGGGGCCAGCCAGTACATATACACATCTGTCACATCAGGGCTGTAGCCATTCATCCCAATTACTAATATTCCATCTCATGAGACAATACCCAGAATCCTGCAACAGCTATCCATACTAATGCTAAGCATTTGATTGATACAAGGTACAAATGATCATTATTCTCCAGCAATTATTAAGTAATAAATTTATTGTGCATATTACAAAGCTTTGTTTGAACATGAACTCTCAATTAAACTGCATTGAATCTTATCATTCTGTCATTCGAATATATAAACTTGTGATGAAGACCAAATCGTTTGAAAAAGAAAAACAGTTCTCTCTGAGCAGGAATTTTACTTCTGGAAGCAGCCTTTTTTTGTGTCAATATTGAGAGTGCAAGACTCTTGTCTACCAATTTTCCTGTTTTTTTTTCAGTCAATGATAATTCTATTACAGGCAGAGCTCATAAGAATTTGTATTCCTATAAAATATATGAATGATTACTTATTGTTTAATTTGTGTTATATAATTTAGCAATGTTGAAGCAAAAGAGAGTGTTTAGAAGCATTCACTTGTGTTACAATGACTCAATAACATTATTAAGTGTTTAGAAGCATTCCCTTATGTCACCAGGACTCTCCAACATCATGGTGGACGGGGAGTTCCTACGCACCAGCTGTGGCTCCCCAAACTATGCCGCTCCAGAGGTCATCTCTGCCAAGCTCTATGCTGGTCCTGAGGTTAGATCTTTTGTTTGTACATTGAAAATGATACATTGCTCACAGGTCGGTGCTTTGTCTTCTGTTAGTTATATGACTTAGAAGAATTACAGAATTACAGTTGTTTGTCATTTATTCTGAAATTAAGAAAACATGAAGGTTCTCGAGCAAAATGACTTATTTTAATATAATTACCCACTTGACTCACAGGCTATGTTGTATTAATTGTGATTTATCAAAATTCTTTTCTGATTTGAGTGTCTGAAATCCTCAAATCTGCCTAACTACCGGTAGTCTTGAATGCCTAGGTATGTTGACAAAACCCACTTTGGTAAGTTAATACATACTGTGAAGCCGGAATATTATCATTGTCTATGCAGCCTGTAGGTATTTTACATGCTTTACATTTTTTGGCCAGGTCATAATTGTACATTGTTTTTTGTTCAGTTTTTGACCTGCAGTATAATATCTTATTTCAAATAAGTTAGAAATTGTGTGCAAAATGTTCTATTTTTGCAAGCTTAATATGGAAAGTACAACATGTTTTATTATAAATAATTCTTACCTGGATGCTAGTATATTATAGGCGATGTTGATGGGTTAGAATTAGTGACAAAATTAAAAAAACTTTTGGGTTTATTTTTCTAAGTATCCTATTTATTTTCATTCTCAAAAATCGTTATAAACAATAGTAAGCCTCAGGTATATCATAATGACTTCATCCTCATCGCCTAACTTGTTTTTGTACAGAGCTGTAAAAACAATATTAAGCCTCAGATATGTCATAATAACTGCAAGCCCTACGTATAAGAAGTGTAGTATATCTCGCGAATAGCTCCCAAATCAGAACTTGTATATAATGTCCTTGCCAGCGTCTGTTGACCTTATAATGCGTGTGTGCAGGTGGACGTGTGGTCGTGCGGCATCATCCTGTACGCTCTGCTGTGCGGCACCCTGCCCTTTGATGACGACCACGTGCCTTCTCTCTACAGAAAAATTAAAGGCAATCCTAATTGTTTACAATTTCTTTTATTAGTTTGCTCTTGTAAATGTCTCCTCGTGATTCATGCTAAATATAAAGTTAATGATTCTGTTTTGTTAACCATGTCTTTTCTATGACATTTTCTGATGCTTGAGGAGTTTATCTAGGTGTACAAGAATGACGTCACGGAAGGTGACGGGGTAAATGATAAGGTACTGTAAGCTTGGGTGGTGACGATGGACAACCTCACACATCTCCTGTTGCAAAAATAAAAATTGTGATATGAATCATATGATTAAATAATAAAAATAGAAATCGTCAAAACCCATACGTAGAGTAGCATTTACCACGTCACCTTTTGTTCTTTACTTGACATATACACATTCACCACCACCAACTTTACTCATATAAACACATTCACCACCACCAACTTTACTCCTTGTAAACACATTCACCACCACCAACTTTACTCATATAAACACATTCACCACCACCAACTTTACTCCTTATAAACACATTCACCACCACCAACTTTACTCATATAAACACATTCACCACCACCAACTTTACTCCTTGTAAACACATTCACCACCACCAACTTTACTCATATAAACACATTCACCACCACCAACTTTACTCCTTATAAACACATTCACCACCACCTACTTTACTCCTTGTAAACACTTTCACCACCACCTACTTTACTCCTTGTAAACACTTTCACCACCACCAACTTTACTCCTTGTAAACACTTCCACGTTTCACCACCACCAACTTTACTCCATATAAACAAATTCACCACCATCATTTTAACTCCCTGTCACCACGACCATGCCTGACGGTGTTGTTGCGTGCGCAGAGGGCGTGTTCCAGATCCCCAGCTTCCTGAACTCGAGCGTGGTGAAGCTGCTGCTGCACATGCTGCGCGTCGACCCCATGAAGCGCGCCACCATCGAGGACATCAAGTTAGTCTACACCCTGCGTCTCTAGCGCGTTCACTGTCTTCTTAGTCATCATGTTATTGCTTCCTTCATATATTGTTATCACATTCTGAAATATATTAATCTTGTTATTAACTTCTGGATTATCTCTGGTTAATGCAACTAATTAATGGACTTGTAAGTTTAGCTTTTTAATAGGTAGCGACTTAAAGTGCAACTTTCAAAATGTAAGAAAAATACGCAAATGATTCACAATTCCTTGACTTGATTATTTTGTGCATGTTTTGACGTTGTCATATCAACAGCTCATTTACTTCCTTTAATACCAGGAAGCACGAGTGGTTCCAGAAGGACTTAGCAGGTTACTTGTTCCCACCTATCCACGACACCCAGATCGCTGTCATCGACCAAGACGCCGTCAAGGAAGTCTGCGAGGTGAGTTCTCATCAAGAAAGCCATCAATACGTTTTCAAAGCTCGTCTGCTTCGGGTATACAAGAACATCTTATACCTATTCTTGAAGCAAGAAACTTGTGTTTATGTTAGAAGCTAATTGTCCCATGTTTAATGTCAAGGTGTTAGATCACTAGAAAACAGGCGTACGAGTGAGGTCCCTTCGTGAAGTTACAAAAATATCGCTTCATTGAGTATTTCCTTGTGAACTATTACCATTCAAAAATTATGAGTTGATAATTCTCATCAGAACTTGACTAAAAATTAGACTAGATCTCATGAAGGCCAAAGTACATGGTTTATCATTCAATTCTCTACACAGAACTGCGTTAGTCGAAACTTGAACGAAACATGATTTGTTTGTGTGTGTTGAGCAGAAGCTGCAGGTGGAGGCGGGCGAGGTGCGCGAGGCGCTGTCCACGAGCGACCCGCACAATCAGCTCTCCATCGCCTACCATCTCATCGTCGACAACAAGCGCTTTGCTGACGCCTCCGCCCAGCAGAGGTCAGCTTACTACTTTTTTGACATATAGAAGTTAGCTTATCACTTAATTCTGCCATTTATTATGATGCTATGTTATAACAAGCGCTTTGCTGACGCCTCCGCCCAGCAGAGGTCAGCTTATCACTTAATTCTGCCATCTATTATTATGATGCTATGTTATAACAAGCGCTTTGCTGACGCCTCCGCCCAGCAGAGGTCAGCTTATCACTTAATTCTGCCATCTATTATTATGATGCTATGTTATAACAAGCGCTTTGCTGACGCCTCCGCCCAGCAGAGGTCAGCTTACTACTTATTTGACATATAGAGGTTAGCTTATCACTTATTTGAGATACATAGGTCAGTTTACCTCTCATTTATTCGACAGAGGCTAGCTTACCACCTACATAATCTTGCCATTAACTCTAATTACGCTATCTTACCACTAGCGCGTTGCTCACGCCTCCGCCCAACAAAGGCCAGCACTTACAATTCGTTGATTTAATATTTCAACAAATTCGCGATCAGCATTAATACAAAGGAAAATTGTTAAATTAATTATGAAGGAATTTTAGATACTTTTAACAATTTCTGAAAACTCTAATTTTGTTAGGTAATTTAAAAATAAAGTGCCAGCACAACTCGGTTCGTTTTGAGCGTTTCCTGATGAAAAAACAGGTTTTGGAAAAATCTAATACACCCTTAGGGGTTCTACTCACTGATTTTAAATTTTCGGCTTTGCAACTATCCTATAACTTTAAAGTAAAAAATATCCCACTAACTACAGTGTGTTTATTTCAGCTACCTAAACGGTAGAATATTAAAATATAAGTGTCATTTAAATTATTAATTGAGTTTCTATTCAAATCTTGTATATGTGGGTACAATTTATACTGCTTATTTTGTTATAAACGTTGGTTCATGCCTAAGAGCGATATAAATAATTATATTTAAATTATAATAAATTCTTAGCTGTATGTTCATAAGATTGTTTTATGGTAACAAACGTTGGTTCATGCCTAAAAGCGATGTAAATAATTATATTTAAATTATAATCAATTCTTAGCTGTATGTTCATAAGATTGTTTTGGACGTGCAGCATCCGAGACTTCTACCAAGCGGGCTCGCCGCCCCCGCCCGCTTCGCTAGGCAGCTCAGCGGTCTCCAGCCCCGCGGGTGCCCCCATACGCCCCCACCCTGAGAGGATCGCCCCCCTCAGGGACAGAAACCTGCGACAGGGAACGCCTGTTAAGAAGGCCAAGTGGCATTTAGGTAAGTATAAGTCCCTTCAGTCATAATCATATCATTTAGTCTATTATTGTCATAATCTTAAATATATTAATTTCTTAGCTTGCAAATGAGTTTAGTTTTCTTGAGCTAAAATACTTGTGTTTTTTAGGAAACTGTGCTTCAGCACTTCATGCATTTGACGTTGCTTTTTTATTCTTAAATCACTCATTTTGTTGAAGTACATTGCTTCTCATGTGCTTATTGCAGTTAGAATAGATCACGGTAATTTTGTGTAGGAAAACTCTTACAACATTTCTGTAAATGGTGCAGTATCCTGCAAGTTGTACCAGTCTTGCAGGTAAGCAATCGGGAGAGAACTTCTATATGTTGCTGCCTTATGAGCAGCTTTGCGGTTGTGAACCAGGGAGATTGTTAACTATTATCAGTATAATAGATAAATAAGTGTGAATAAAAACTACCTTATATCCACGAATTGAGCCTTTAATGAACAATAAAATGCATTATACCACTAACGATTGAACGTAGATCAAATAACTTATTCAGTGTCGTCTTGTGTAAAATAATATGCGTTTAAAAATTACTTTTCATATACAACAATTCTAAAGAATCCAGTGTCTCCGATGTTACAGATGTACAATGAATTTCTAATTTTATTATCAAATATTAGAAAAATCATAATTTTTACATTTTATTTTTAAAATTAAAAAATAATAAATTTTTCAAAATTATTTAATCTATCAATTGATACATGCATTGTCTCTGACTTTACGCAAGTATGCAAAATTTCAGCTCGATTGGAGAGGTAGAAGTGTGTTAATTATCGATTATAAGATTTGTAGCAGACAGACAAACAAGAAGTGAAGTTAAAGAGAAGTGTTGTGAAAATGGTTGTTGAAATATGGCCGGGCATGCATGTGTCTTACTGACAATACTGATGAGTTGAGACGAACGTGTCTGTATTTTGGTCCCTTATTATATTGGAATTGTTTGCGAGCAATGCTATCTATATATACGTGATATTACTACCCTGTATGGTTTCCAAGCTCTAATGAGTTACGTCCCACCCCCGCCTGGTGCAGGGATTCGTTCGCAGTCCAAGCCACACGACATCATGAGCGAGGTCTACAAGGCCATGAAGGTGCTCGACTTCCAATGGAAGGCAAGTCTTTCACATCATTTACATAACTCCAACTAGCAACTCTGATTGCTATTGCACAAAACTTGTTGAACGAAAATGGTTAGTGTGATAATATAAAAAATATAACTCAGTACTCACTGCAGTGAGTGACAGAGAGCGCATTTTCTCGTCGACGAAAACTTGAGGTCACGGACGGACAGACAGACGGACATGGCGAGCACAATAGTGCATTTTTCCATAAATGAGAAAATGCGCTAGAAAGGTCCCTATGCTGCAAACACACAATGATGTGTATTGTAATAGCAACGTGCGTCTCAATACTTAATTTGATAAACTCACACAAAAACCCGGGCGGCTCGAAGCATGAGCACACATGATAATCGATGTTGAAATTTCAAATATGAATTTCATTGATGTTGCATGTAAATTTCAGCAAGGAAGCTAAAGTCGTAACGATGTTGTTCTGCAAAATTCAAGTCCTCGGACGATGGTCGAAGTGTCCGTGATGGACAAAGAAGTAGAGCGAGGGAATTACACACAGCTTTACTTCGTTATTAGCCGCAACATTAGAGGGCTGCTGAGAATAAATCTGTGGCAATGAACTTGTTTAAAGGCTCTTTGTTCAAAACAATAGTTGTAGAACACAGTTAAACAAATGCACAAGTCGCTAGCAAAAGCAGTTTTAGCTGTCTGAGAGCATGGTCAATGCCTCAATGTCTCATGTTTAGCTCAATAACCCTGACTAATATGCCGCATGTACGGATTGGTTAGATTACGTTTGTTATTTTGAGAGTTCCTTATTACAAGCCTTGTATGAATCATTTCTCTAGAGGATCAGGAAGTATTTGACAATACGTATTTTTTTTACACGATTACTGGCATTGTATGAATGACCGCTGATTTATTGTTTACTAATTGCTTCTAAGCGATTTATTAAAATTCTATCCGGTGACTACTCTCTTGAAATAATGTTAAATAACGATATTTCATTAGTTCCATTAAAATGCATGATCAAAAATTCTCATTCACGTAAGCCAAGATCAGTTACGAGAGACAGAGCAACACATGAAGCGAGTGTCGTGCGTAACCGTCCGCGTTTTGTACGTTCAGGTGATGGATCCGTTCCGCGTGCGAGTGCGACGCAGGAACCCCATCACTGGCGCCCTGGTGCACATGTCGCTGCAGCTCTACCGCGTTGATTACAAGAGCCATCTTCTCGACTTCCAGATCATTGACTCGGAGAATGCTGCTGCTATTGAAAAAAAGCGTAAGACTTCAATAATATTGCATTTGTTATCAATTCAAGCGTGAAGCTGGAGAAATTAATAGTTTGTCAGCGCGGGATGATTGCTAGCTCTGATTATGAGGGGAGTTCAGATGATATACGAGAGGGCAATGCTGACTTCTTTATATTACACTTCTCTTTGGCTGATTTATTAGCATGAAATAGAGAAAATTGACGTGCTTATAATGGTACAAATTGGAGTGGACTATTTCGATTATCGATTATGCCCTTGTATTCTGTAAAAATATAATGGTTCAGCTTCTTAACTTGGCTCGAGTAAAATGCTAATTCAGTATGAGAGTATTTTGATGCTCTTGATTGGTCATGAGAAAAAAAATTATCTATTCGTGTGAGCTTTTAAATTTGACTGTTGGCATTTCGAAACGGGTAAATTGACCGCGGTCACTGACATCATAGCCAAGCAAGGAGTCCTAGTGAACAATATTATTGCATCATGATTGTTTGCACGCTTCATTGATGACGACAGGTGACGGCGGAGACGACGTAGGCGAGGCACGTGGCTATCACGTCATGGAGTTCTTCGAGATGTGCGCGGCTCTCATCGCCGAGCTCGCGCGCTAGACGCGCCTGCCGCCCACGACTCCTGCCACAACAACTGCACTGAATATCTTCGCCGAGCTGCATCAAATCGGGAGCCCACAGCCTACTTACTTGGAATTGTTTGTCGTTATGTGTAGCAGATATTTGAAGAACGCTGGGACAAATCTACGAACAAACCAATTGCCGTCGAGAGAATTGCGGCAATGATGTCATGCAATTAGTAATGTGTGTTAACAATGGAATTTGCGGGCCATTTTTGTGTTCGAGTGATCGTTAAAATTGTATTCGTGTTAACTTCTTAGGTGGGCATGTAGCTTACCAACTGTAGCTACTCCTCTGCTCATTGCACCCTTGTTACTCCATAACGTCGGTTAATTCGATAGGTTTATGATTTTAATTGCGGATGCCAACCTTGGGAATCCGTCTGGTCAGTTTCAGTTTTTTATTTATTCTGGTTCGATGCCATTTGAAATGAAACTATCTCTTGTGATTACTAATGTGGCTTCTCACGCCTCCGAATATTAGCTTCGTTTTTCTTTTTTTCGGGTTTTCTGCCACTTCTTTCTTGAGGAAGGTTAAGGGTATACAGTTTTACCGTTCTACTCGTAACGTGACGAGAGACGCGTGTGACCTGCTTTCGTCGTGTTTTTTTTTTTGACATTATTTTTTTAATCGGTAACTTTTATCAATTGTAAATTACATATTATTGAAATAGGTCCACAGCACGTTTGAGCTGCTCACTTATTGGGCGTGTTGCTTGAAATAAATCTATTGCGATATAACCCATGTGTACATAGGAGAAACTTGATATATAGAGGGGAATAAAAATGGTGTATTGCTATTATTTAGGACTTTTACACCATGTTCATGGCTGTCACGCTCTAGTAAATGAATTATTTAGAGCACTCGCACTTTGCTGGCAATATTCAACTGATTAATGAGCGAACGGTTAATGCGTTGAGTTAATGTTTCCGAACTTCTTCGGTGAATGTTCCCGAACGCTTTGAGTGAACGTTTTCGAAGTTTTCAGTGATCTTTCCCGAATGCTTTGAGTAAACTTTTCCAAACTTCTTCAGTGAATGTTTCTGAAAGCTTTGAGTGAATGTTTCTGGCTGTGTTGAGTGAACATTTCTACACGCCCCCGTCCGGCTGGAGCGTGTTTGTATATGGGAACACAATACACAGAGTTTCGCTGATTGCTCATAGTTTGTATTTTGTTTCAGGCTGTGGGTGCACTTCTACAATGAAGCTAAATATGAATGCCTACATTAATTATTATGCCAAATTTGCTGGGGGAATAAAAGTTGCTGTGTCGATCCCATTGCTACTCTAGACATCGGAAGAATTGCTTGCTATATATATTATAATCGTAATTAGATTTACTGCTTCTTTAATAGCCTAATGTAGACTGCAGAGACGTGCCTTAGATTTCATGGTCATTTTATTAATGAATCAGTTTAGGATGTAGACCGAAAAGCTGAAAAAGTTCTGCCTACATCAAAAATTTATTTGTGAAGCAGGCATCCAATCCTTGCTATCCGCAAAACTTCACGCCGCGACCATCCAGTATGTCAAACTTTTTAATCTGAATTCTTGTTTGCGGCCTAATTTTAAAGTATTTATTTTGTATTATCCTTCACTTAGATAAGAATTTAATCGTAGCAAACCCTTTATAGTTGTTAAAAATACTTGCTTCTGCTCTGCCTCAGGTATGAACTATTGGTGCAATATCATTTTCTTGTTCTATCTGTAGTGCGGATAAAAATTATGATAATTAGAGGAATACTGACTGCGTCTCAAAGAGTGCCATTCGACTACAATTTAATGCAAAAACTTCGATGTTTAATCTAATGCACATATTGTATCGAAAAAATATGATTTATTTTATTTTTCCGCAATAGTTCGAATGATTTATGTTGATTCTCGTGTATATTATTGTTGCTGCTGTATGCTCGGTACGACAAAATTAATCATTTGTTCCTAATTTTAATGATTGCTTCGAGTTTTTAAGACAATAAAAACGGTGTATTTACTTGAGCAAAACTTGTCATTTCTGACTTACGTAAAATCGTCCAAGTCTGATCATCTCCATGGCACCTCTTGTTATTCTGAGGCCGGGGAAGAGTGCCTTGCTTTCTCTTAGCTATCGAAGAAATTTCTGAAATTCTGTTAAATGGGATTTTGGGACTCCCGAAATTTTGTTGTGTTCCTTATTATTGCTCGGCATACATTACTATACAATTTGCGTCTTCTACCGAATGTGAAAGTATTTGTATGTTGCACAAACACGGTTTCATCTGTGGAATTTAAATTGCTCAAAAATTTTATTTGTGTAATTGCTGACGCTTTTGGATGAGCAAGATTGAGCGTAAATGCTAACTTAATTTTTACGTGATTAAACGGATCCAACCGTATACAAATTTCACGAATATTACTGAAGATTGCGGGGTCTTTTTGAGATTTTTGTGTTAACTTTATACATCAGAAAATGAGCCTCTCGTCGCTTCTTATTAATTTCGTGTGAATATTAAGGTAAGTTGCTTCAAGGTCTAGTGGTACAACAACGTGGGAGCTATTGTGACCGAGCGTAAGGGGCCTGATCTGAGTGAACTGGTATCAAATGTATGTGTCTATTCTCTTTGTTTATAATAACGAGAGTGAGTATATAAACTGAATGTTAGATGTGTAACGTATACACGAATTACTGACACTTCGTTTATATTATCACCTTTTCGCGCGTCGCTGTGATAACCGTTTCAAATGCCCCCGATCTCACTACGTCTTCGTCGTGAGGATGTGAAGATACTCTGGCCTGCGCGTCGGCCGGATGCTCGGCATACTCGTGGGCAGGGCCATACGGCAGAGGCCCCCTCGCACGGATCGCTGCCGGACGGAGTCTCCTCCTCATTTTTTCACCGTAGGGAAGGGGAACCTTGGCCTCCCCTTCCCCCTACCCACATCTTTGACCGCCTATCTTTCCAGGGGCACCTTATGCCCTTCTCTCCTCCCAACTTTTCTTCCCACTCGTCCTTCTCCTGACCCAGGGTATCCATCCCAACCTTGGCCCGCACCCCTGCTCAGTCTGCTTCCTCCCGGTTACGTGGCGAGGATATTATTTTCGGTGCTCCAGGTGTAATGCCTGGACCCACGAGCAATGCTCTGGATTGCGCTCCATTAATCTCTACTCCGAAGACTGGATCTGCCCTACTTGCAGACGGTCTGACCCTATCCCAGCCAGACCCTCCTCACCTCTGCGTCCTCCAGTTCAACTGCAATGGGGTGCAATCCAGTGCAGCTGAACTGGCTGCCTACCTCGCCAAGAACGACGGGGCGGTTGCTTGTCTCCAAGAGACCAAGCTATCTACTGCATCCCGCTCCCCCTCCTTTCCCGGATACGCGCTGGAGCGCAGGGACCGCCCCGGAGATCACGGTGGCGGTCTCTTCATCCTGATCCGCCACGATGTCCCGTACACCGGGCGAGACATCTCTCCCCTCCCACGCGGCGACACCACCATGGAGGCCATAGCAATCTCCACCCCTCTTAATGGCTCCCCACTTTGCATCATCAATGTTTACATCCCACCGGCCTCCTCCTGCCCCCGGGATATTCCCAGGAGCTCTCAGACATTGTCTCCATACCGGGCGACTGTCTGATACCGGGCGACTGATCATTCCTCCTGGTTCTCCCATACGGAAGACCAGAGAGCCGCATCGCGAATGGCCGTAGTCGACGACCTCGTCGCCGGTTCCTCCCTCGCTTACCTCAATGAGGACTTCCATACCCGCCTTCCCTCCCATGGCCCGCCCTCCTCACCGGACCTCGATATCATTTAGCGGTCATCTACTCCTCAACACCTGGATCCCTCAAGTCGCTCTTAACTCGGACCACCGGCCCCTCCCGATTCATTTCCCTTCTTCCGTCGACTCCCCTACCCCCCGGGCCGCCCGCTCTTACGTCAACTTTAAAAAAGCTGACTGGTCCGCCTACACGGCAGCCAACGAAGCGTCACTCGATTTGGTCCCTCCCCCCACTTCGTGGGGCGGTGAGTCGACCTTGAGAGAAGTCTTGACGACTGCTGCCAGACAGCATATCTCTGCGGGTTCCGGAAGGACTTCTCCCCCTCTGTCAACCCTGGCACCCGGTTGCTCGTCGTGCAATGGGATGACATCAGGGCGCGTAATCCAACCGACCCCTGGCTCCCATAACTCAACCTGGAAATTAGCATGTCCATTCAGGTCCATGCAAGGAACACATTGCGAACACATCTTGCGTCGTGCAGCAGGCGCACACACCAGTCTAAGCACAGGAATCTCCTTCGCTCCCTTGCCGGAAAGCGAAACCGCCCTCCTCCCAATCAGCTAATTCAATTTGGTCTGAATTCCCTCTCCTCCCAGCGCAAGATTTCTTCCGCTTTCTGCAAGTTATTTACTTCGAACGCTCCTCACTCCCAAAGCCCCTCCACCCGCCGCCTCATACGTCGAATCCTGGCTGAACATCCCCTTGATAGGGACTTCTCCCCTTTCACACCCGACATGGTGAAGCTTACCATCGCAGCCGCCAACAACTCTTCCGCTCGAGGTCCAGACGGCCTCACGGTCCTTCATCTTAAGAGCCTCGGCCCACGTGGTCTCCAGTTCCTCACCCGTATTTTTAACATCTCCGTCTCCACATCCTCTATCCCATGCATTTGGAAAAATTCAATAATTATTCCAATCGTCAAACCGGGCAAACCCGGAAACCAGGGCTCTTCATACCGCCCTATCTCCCTCTTCTGCCCTGCAGCCAAGATCCTAGAGCGTCTTGTGCTCCCTTACATCTTAGGATCCTTCACTACTGTCCCTTTGCAACATGGTTTCAAACCGAGACACTCCACAGTCACCGCCCTCCTCCCCCTCGCGCACCAGATCACGACGGGTTTTAACTCTTGGTGCCCTCCGGCCCGCACAGTCGCCTCTGCAGTCGACCTCTCGAAGGCTCTCGACAGTGTCGACCACCCTCTCCTCCTAAGCATGATCGCGGCCTCGGACCGACATCGCAACCTGGTCCGCTGGCTGTGCTGCTACCTCAGAGGCAGCCGGCATCTTGCCTCTACCTGAGAACACAATCGCCTTTCAGAGCCATCCATTTGGGCGTTCCCCAGGGCTCGGTCATCACGCCGGCCCTCTTTAACCACTTCATCTCCAATATCCCAGTGCTGATCCCCGACATAGCCTCATACACAGACGACCTTAACATCTTCGTGTCGTCCCCGAGGCTCGACGCTGCGGAGGCTGAGCTCGCCGTGCTCCTTCGCAGCGTCTCAGATTGGTCGGCTGACAAGAAACTGGGCTTGGCTCCGGGCAAGTCCTCGGTCAAGCTCTTCACCCCAGATACGCACCAATCCCAATCCCACCCATCTGTCACTACCTGCAACGGCATCATCCCTTTGGATAAAACCCCCAAAATCCTAGGCGTCACCTGGGATACGCACTTCACTTTCTCCCCTCATGTAAGAGCCATAGCCATGAAAGCGACGGGCTCTCTTCGCATCTTGAAACCTAACCTAACCTTAAAAGCCCTTGCTGGTACCAACTGGGGCTTCTCCAAGGCGGACACCAGAATTGCCACCTACCGAACCATCACGCGCCCAATCCTCAACTACGCGGCCCCTTCTGGTACCCTATCGCCTTGCGCACAGCAATTGCCAGTCTACAAACAATACAAAACACTGCATTGAGACTAGCCACCGGCTGCCTCAAAATGGCCTCCATCGCCCATCTTCACCAGGAGACCGGCGTCCTCCCTTTGTCCGCGCCCCTGGACCTGGCTTGTGCCCAGTTCCTTACCTGCGCCCTCCCATACCTCATTCCGCATTGTTTCTGCTCCACTCGGGGACCGCCCCATGAAAGCCTCCATTCAGTTGAGGTTCGGCCACCTTGTCACACCACTCTTGGCAAATGGATCTTGCCCGCCGGTGCCTACGGAGAGGCCAAGCGGTCTCTCCGCAGGGAGATCGCCTCCTGCGTTGCGGCGACTGACGCTATAAACGTCATCCTCGCTGCTCCACCACCGCCGATTGCATCTGTGGAGGCCTCACTCCCTCGCCCCCTACCGTTCGGCGCTATCCCAGCTCTGCTCAGGTTACTGCAGCTCCCTGGCGTCCTACTCCGCTAGGATCGGACGTTCCCCTAACTCCGCCTGCCCGGAGTGCAGAAACCCCCCCCCTCCAGTCGGTCCAGCATCTCTTCGCCTGCGCCACCTTCCCCACGTCCCTCAGCGTCTCTTCACTGTGGGACAGTCCCGTGGAGTCAGCTGCATTCCTGGCCACCCTCTCTGCCTTCGCCCATCTCCCTCCCCTTCCGGTGCGTGATGGACGCAATAAACAACAACAACCGTTTCTAATTCCATGCCCCGTAAAAACTGTGATTACCGTTTCTAGTTCCATGAACCAATTTGTACTTACTGGCTTTAAATGATTGATAAACAGACGTGCTGGAAGTGCACGCTAACTTGATGCATTCGATGCGTAAGAGCGGTTTTGTAAATTAACATATGAATTAGTGAAAGTCCTTGAATTAAACCACTTATAATAATTGAAGCGCAGTAAAATAAAAGTGTCTGGGAACTCTCTGGGAAGTGACCAGTGGAACGATGGGGCTTTGTAATAGTTGCTCTGAAAAAGCTATCAGTAAAAAATCCAAATGGAATGATATCAAATTACATTTAATTATTGTTTAACTGATACCAGAAAATTAATTCATAGGCACCACTGCCAAGAGCCCTACGTACCGGGTATTTGTCACGATATTCTACCTACTACTCACCAATAACTCTAATCCAGAACCATGACTATAATCTTTCTCAGTTTCTGTGTCTGTGGACGGTGGACGAAAAGCGTATCTTGATTCTAGTATCGAGACGGCTTTCCACGGCTCCGCCATGGAGTGTTCTCCTCAGCGCGTCAGCAGGTGCTAGAGTTTGAGCCGTTCAGACTGCAGGCAGCTTGAGTTAGGCAGGGTTTTCAATGAGTTGGTAGACAGCCAATTAATTAAAAGTAATTTAAGTGATTAACCACTATAACTCAAAACTCGGTCGTGGGGCCACTGTCCACATTGAACTAGTCCACAGAGGCTCTCGCAAATTTGAAGAGAAAAAAATCGAGACGGTAGCTAGGCATGACATGTCAGCCAACAGCCACTAGCTAGGCTCCAGTCCGCACCACTCACCAGGACACCAGCCTCTGGACTGTGAGGAGACACGAGAAAGTCAGCTGCGTCATGCGTGCATTGAGTAAACATCTACCTACTAGGCTACTACCTACTGTACCTAGTTTGCTTCGTAGTTCGTCCTTGATTATGGCAAACGAAAGCAGAGACTTTTTAGACTCTTCCAGAGTTCCAGTCTTCCTTTCTTCAGATTCTTGATCCTGCATACCTAGTTTCTTTTGGGCTTTGACATAGGTAGCCTAGGTAGGCTATTGGCCTATTGCATAATTTGCATTTGCTATCAAGTATCAATATCAACATTATTTCAAATTTGTTGTTATTATCTCTTTGCTATGCAAATTTATTATTATTCATACTTGTCCAAGTCTGTCTGTCCCTACCTATTTATAATCTCTTGGAGAGAATAATTTTTTTCTGGTTTGTGTTGCTTTGACTATTAAGCTCTATAAATGGTAAATACATCATTTCCATACTATTACTAGCAACTAGCCTAAATTTTGTTATCTGCAATTCTGCATCACCATTTTGAAGTTTTAACATGTGATTGTAGAAAATATAATCCTATTCACAACTTCTGACTGCTCAGAGTCGTGGTCAGCTAACACAACTGTCTAACCAAACTCCAGCAAATGCTGATCTTGGCTAACTACATCATGTCCAGGAGCTGAGGAGCATACAGACACATCTGTCATGTGTATGATACAATTGCTTGATGTATCTGGTCTCTTAAATTTTTGTCAACAATAATAATTGTTCAGCAGATAACATTTAAAAATCCTTCAGATGAATAGTTAGAGGCAAGTAAATTTAGGAATTAGTGTCCTGTCCTTCACAACTATAACCCTTGCAAAAATACATGAGTGCAGTAGTTGCAACTTGCAACACTACACTTTACACTAATCAGTAGTTTATCATCATTGTAGACTTCAATCAACATTCACCACTATGGGGACTCTTGCAACAGGTCCAACTTCACAAGCAGAAGTAGTGAAAGATTGCTGGAAATCTACAATTTTGTATTGCTCTATGATGCAGACACCTCAACATGCATCAGCAACCAAATTATTACAACTTCTTGTCATGACCTCTGCATAGCACATGTCAATTTGGACATCCTTGTGGAGCTGCATTGGGACAGTGACATTTGCTTTGAACATTTTCCCCCTGGAAATTGCATTCAGCTTTAGATGTGCCAAGTGCAGCATAGATCCCTGAAAAAACTGGGCCTTGAAACATGCTGAATAAAGAAAGTGGACTGGACCGCTTTGTTTATCCAAAGCAGCAGAACTCTTAAGCAAAATGCTTGCCTCTCTTGATTTGGAAACCCTTGACCAGTGCAAAGTCCAAAAAATTAAATCATTAAAATCATTAAATCATTAAAAATCATTCCATGGTGGGATAAAGAGCGCAAAGTTGCTGTTGGAGGCAGGAAAAGTGCAAAAACCTTCTCAGGAGCCATCCAACTTCCTCAAACTTTATATGCAACAATGTTGTGTTGCCATGGCAAGCAAAACATACTGCCCTGAAAGAGAAGACTGAAATAAGTTTTCAGTTTTCTGGGGAGCACCACACCTTCTTTTAAAGTATGACATGCAATTAAGAGCATTGGTGGAGAAGAAGGCTCCAATTGACAACCACTCCACTTCAAATTATGCAGTTGCAATGCTGTTCCTTGAGCATTTTGCACATGACTTATCCAGTGCTGAAGATTGAGTGGGATATGGGGAGGTGATTGGAGAGGTGGAAAGTGCAGTGAGAGGTGCCTATGGGCCAACTTGTCCTGAAATTAGTCTGCAAGAGCTCCAAACATCTATCCAGTCACTAGAGAATACTTCAGATGGGAATGATCTTCTTTCAAATGCCTTCCTAAGCAAGAGCCCAGATCACATCAAAACTGAGCTCCTCAACCTTTGCAACACCAGCTGTGTCAGTGGAGTAGTACTAGTTTCATGGAAGCAGGGAGTCATCTGCCCCATAATAAAGCCCATAAAGGCCCCAACTCTAGTCAACTCCTACAGACCCATCACCTTGCTGTCATGCATAGGAAAACTTATTGAGAGAATTATCCAAAGACGAATTGAACACTACATTGAAACCTAGTACTTAAACTTATTGAGAGAATTATCCAAAGACAAATTGAACACTACATTGAAACCTAGTACTTAACCCCACCCAAACTGGTTACCAAGGTTGCTGGAGAAATGTCCATGCACCATGGGCATTTTGGATGTGCTAACACATACCATTAGACAGAAAACTTGAGTATGCTGTCTTTCCTTCAAACTTAGTGATATCCCTGCAAAAGTAATGCAAAAACTGAAGGTGATTCAGTCCAGTGCACTGAGAATTGTCCATGGTGCAGTTAACACATCTCTTATTACTTCCTTAGAGATTGAAGCCCACATACTGCCAGTGGAGATCGGGTTCAATTACCTGTTTTTAATATGTTACCTGAAAATATAGTGGTAGAGGTACATCTCAGGGTATATATATATATATACATCTGGAAATGAGATCTGCCATGAAGTTGTTGTCTCGGAGCATAAATTTGCCAATAGTTACTTCTCTATAAGAGCCAAAGTCTCCTAACAGTTGTAGTGGTTCCCAGTTTTAAAAGAATTTCACCCATCATTTCACCCATCCCTCCACATCTCAGCTTGGAATCTCACAATCAGCTTTCCACCCATATTACCTGCACGCTGCACCCATATTACCTACTCCATCTGACATTAACAGGGGGTATGTTCAATGAGTACTGCCACAAAAATTTGTTATCCTATGTGCCCATATACACTGATGGATCAAAGCACAGCACTGGCTCTACAGCTGCAGCCATGTATATATACCAAATCTTCAGAATGTCACTATATGGAAGTTGAACCCTTCCCATACAGTCATTGGTTCAGAATTATTTGCAATATGCAAGGCCTTGCAGTTCTGCTGCTTGGACCCAAGGCTCAGCTCAGAAAATATTCTGCTGTTAACATATTTCTGGTCAGCATTATGAGTTATCAATACCATCATCAGCCCATAGAGTATGTTATCAAAATTCTAGAGTTAATTCACAAAAGGCAAGCCTCCACAGTACTACAATGAGTGCATGTATCTTTTTTTAGCTATTAAAAGATTTTTTATGATGTGTCTGTGACCAATCTAACTATCTTGATCAGAGGTCTGCATGCACTCCTTTTCTAATGGTAGAATTTGTACCCAGAAGTTTACTCAATGTTAATTTTCTACCTGTCATCCCTCATTATTAGCATTAATTCTTTTATAATATCAATAACAGGCTTTGGAAAGTCAGCAACATCTATGTTTGATTAATCCTTTGAATATATATGTGTGGAAGATGGATTTGTTCAGCTTCAACACCAGCACTGTTCCTGGTCTCCAGACAATCACATTGATGAAAATAGGATGCTATCGAATTGGTCACACTCTTGGAAAAGGAACCTTTGGAAAAGTTAAATGTGAGTTCATTTAAAAATTGATATATAAATGATAAATTCCCTCTTATGATGCATAATGTATTCTTATGAATTATGATAATGAATCTTTTTAGCTTTTCAGGTACCTATATAATCCTGATCCCAAATGCCTAAACCTGGGATCCAGGTTGTGGTCTTGCTGAGAGTAGGTGAATATTTGAAGCTCTTAGGTGACACATCAGCTTCAAAATGTATATATGCATTCTATGCCAATACTTCTTGATAGATATTTTTGACAAAAAATCATGTAGGCTTTGTTAGTTCTGGCAACAGATATTTGATTATAGGGTACATCTATGCTGGCAATATTCTTGGTCAAAAAAACTTGATTTTGGCCTGGCTGTAAAGTCTTTTTTTTTTAGATATTTGAGGTTTTCAATTATTTCCTCATAAGGCTATCAACCATCACAACCTTAAATAATTGGCATCCCGGTCCATGACCCAGTACAAACTATGGAATATGATCAATCAATGCTGATTGCTGCCCTTGAATATGATTGCTACCCTCAATGCTCAACAGGGGTATCTGCTGCTTGTTTTGATTGGTATCTATCACTACCAATTTGGAATATAGGGCATAAAGTTGCTGATAAAAATGATCATTTCACTGGTGAATTTTGAATATTGCCAGCAAAAAGGCTGTTTTTCATATTTTTTACTAAGTAAGTTGGAGAAAAAGCCATAGGAATGGGTGAAATTGGCTGGATTCACATGCATTTTTGCCAGATTCACAGGCTAGTATGGAAAACCTCTACCTTTCCAGCAGCAACTAGAGCGTCCCTGCTTTTTTCAGAACTGCAAAATTCCTGCTAGATGAATTATTTCCTGTCTAACTGTCAAAAACAGAAGAGGGCACCATTGGGCTGTGAGATTCCAAATGAATTAAAAATTTGTCACTTTGGAACTACAATATTTTAGCAATGAGTAAGAAAATTTTAATGGTATTTACAGGTGGCTGCTGCCCAATGTTCTACTTAGGCATCACCAGCAGCAATATATTGGTTGTACACTGACAGCAATTGTAATGGTTATCCACTGTTGATCATTGCTCATTGGCCCAATAAATTGTAATGTGTATGCCTTAATGCTCTTCATAGCACATTGGTCACCATCAAACGGAGTAATAAGGGATGGGCAGGGTAAATCAGGACAGTTGTCCCACATTTTGTAGAAATGTTGTAGCAGCTAAACTAATCAAAATATTGCAAATTAAAAATATTGGTGTAAAGTTTGATATTTTTACTATCTAGGTATCATAAAGAAAGTTGAGAAATCATGCATTTACTACCTCTAAAAAATGCCTGAAAAAAAGTGTGAAAAGTGAGATTTTGGAAAAGTACCTCTGCTGAGGTCTGTAGCAAAAAATATTTGCTGTATTAAAAAATTAAGTTAAGTTTAATGTATTAAATTATTAAGTCTTACTTCAAGTGTTCCTGATTACCCCGTTACCAGGGGGTAATTTGTGATGCTTTTATTTTGCGTCTCACTTTACAAATAGCATATGAAATTTTTTAAGAGAAGCCGTACAATAGCCCTCTCAAAGAGCTTCAAAATGAGCCTAAATTTGTTTAGGAAATGTTTCATGGTAAGACGTTATCAACAAAAAATGCTCAAAACCGTCTTGTGTTACCCTGTTTGACAGCATTTAAGCTGCAACTAGAGAAGGTTCCAAATGAATTGCAAAATTTGACTCTACAGAGCTGTGAGATATTTTTCATAAGTTAAAAAATCCAATCCAGCTCAATCTATGTTGTAACAAACTCAACTTTCTGATATACAGATAGCAGTATGTGTAATGAAGTCTTACACTTCATCGGGTTTGCTACTCGGGCGCAACAAACATCAGCCACCAAAACTAATTTATTTAACAAGAACAATAATAAAACGGTATTGCTAGAAACAATAGAATGATCATACAAGCTGAGTGCCCAATCAAATAGGTCACAATGGATGACAGAAGTCGTGGCGCGTCCCTGTTCCAGGGAGCACGTGATGATCCGTCCAAACAAGTACTTGGAATACACGGTCCCAGAGGCAGCTCACTCTCGTGACCCGCAACCCTATATTGGAAATAAATACTTTCATACTGACTGATATTACTCACTTAATCACTCGCATAACAGATTCTATATATGATCACTTTTTAACCAATTTACTTGAAACAGAAATAGCTAATTTATTGCTAGGGTACATTTGGTCTAATATAGCAGCTCACCAATAAAGGCAGTGTAAGTTGACTCAAGGCACAGCAAGAGAGTGGCTCAATAGGTCAACTAGGCCTAGAAATGGGTTGCTCACAGTACGACCTTCTCTTGACGACTGACCTAACGCACGGTATAGTCTCGTAAGAACGCTTTCCTTTTGGCGTCTTCTAATTTGTAACTAACAACTTTACAGTATGATAATTGCCAAATTTACATAGTGGGGCATGTGTGTTATATTTTTCTGACCAACTGAGCAAAGCCTAGAGTTTTGTGCCACTTTTAGAATCAAAAGACTCGTGCAAAGAATGTACAGTAATGCAATTTAAGTTTCCCCCACCTGGCCATTAAAAAGAATTATTTTTTCTAACTAAACCTTGTAGTAGTTTGACTATTGTTATGCGGGTGTGATGAACTCGTCATCAGCTTGTATTTGTCTATTGCAGCTACTAAATTTATGGGGAATTAAAGATGGTGTTTTCTGAGTTTTATTAAACAGAGTTAAAACAAAGATACATAGTTTATTACATGGGATCAGCGGTTTAGGAGACTTCCAGGATTGCGACAAAATGAGTAGTTAAGAAATAGAGAATAGAGAGGAACATGAGCAGTTCAGAATTTGCTAATAGAGAGGAACATGAGTAGTTCATAATTAGTGAATAGAGAGGAACATGAGTAGTTCAGGATTAGCAAATAGGAGGAACATGAGTAGTTCAGAATTAGCAAATAAGAGGAACATGGACAGGTGATGATGCCTATACTATGGTGCAGATAAATTCAATGAGCACTTTGATCAGACTATTGCACTTGCTGGTTGAATTCTGGTTATACTGTAATTCTGTAATACTCTAAAGAAAATAAGAAAAGAACAATATTAACTAACACAAAGTAAAATTAATGCTCTACCTGCCCACTCAATATATTATTAGCAATGAGAAAAATAGGAATAATGATCATGTATGCAGGAAGGTTGTGCTATAAAAGTAGTATTTACAACCCCCGGTAACAACCTGAACCAAAAATTTTTAGAGAGATATGGGTAATAAATCTTCTAAGTCTCTATTTACTATGTTGTATTCAAACCCTACAAACTGTTCTGCCTGGCATTTCATTGTAATCATCTGCTACACATGGTAGTTTTGACAAGTATTATTAGGCATGTTAAGTCACTTGAATTGCTGTTATGACTTTGCAAATATTGCACTTGACTTGAGTGCCATATCTGCTAATTGGAAACTTACATATCATTGAGTATAGATCATTCAATTAATCATTGGGTATCTAATTGTAAGTTTAATTAAAGCAATTTTACCAGGAATAACCTAATCTATGATCTCTTATTTCAAGTTGAATAAGCAATAATATTAAATAGATGGTTATAAGTAATGGAAGCTCTTTGTGAGGTTATAATAACCCACATAATAGCCATCTTGATTACAGCCAAACTGTGAAGCATTGTGACAAAAAAATGTCCTGGTGCCCTATCTCTTTCAGTGCCATGAGTAGAGGACTGAACTATCAGGAATACCTGTGTTATCTTGTAAAACAAAAAGAGCTAGAGGAACATGCTTCCAAGAAGATTGTGTAATAAAACAGTGTATATATTGCTCCACACTTCTTGTATCAACAATTATTTGCTCTAGGCATGCATCCTTTCTGTTAAAATTATATGAACACTTTGAAAGCAGTGTTTACATTTCTTTATAAAGGTTCATTCTATGTTATATTTTATTTAATATTTAATTAAACTTTTCCATCATTTACAAAATTTGTGTAAATACTGTATGATTGTAATGATATTGTGTTGATAATTCTAAATATTTATGGTTACTAGTGAACTATGTTGCTATCTTGATCTAATGCATTCAAAAATCAATATAAAGGATGACTGTCTTTTTAATATAATACTAAAAATTAAGTTTTATGATGAACAGTTGCAGTTGATCAACAATTTACTTATTGATTTGAAATTGTATGTTTCTCAATCTTATATTGATATGGTTTCTGTTTATAGGTTGTTACATGTGCAAACATGATTTTGATTAGACTTGATGACAACAAAGTAGACTTGATGACATGTCAGTATTGCCTTATGAGTATTTGTATCTAAGAGAAAATATTTTATGCAGCAAAGTTACTTGATCTGATCTCATTAAATTCAAGATTTCTCTATTAATTACTCCACTAACCTGTTCAACATATTGAGAATCAATTTTAATTCCAATTCTGCCAATGAATCCTGTTATAGTTACTCAGTAAAGCCCCTGAACCAGCTCATAAACTCATAACTCCATAGAATTTTGTTGCGTCCAGAAACACCATAGTCAGGGAAATGTTATTCTGTGTGTTGTTATTATACACTAAGCTGAAATTTAATTAGATTTCTGTATCATTTAGTACCTTTAATTTCTCTACACCCTTAAAATTTTGATTTCGCCATGTAGTGTATAACTTCATGGAAAATTTTAAAAGCTCTCATGGCATAATGGCACAAGTGCATCGTGCACTGCAAGTAACCAAGTATGGTGGCAATATTGCTTTCTGTATATTTGCCATTACCTTCATTTTTTAAATACATTATGAAGCATATTTATATTGTAGTAATTGAAACGTTTTTCTTTCAGATGGAGAACACATTGAAACCAAGACTAAAGTGGCCATCAAAATACTCAATCGGCAGCAGATAAAAGACTTGGATGTGCTGGAAAAGATCAAACGAGAGATAACTAACTTGAAGCTTTTTCGTCATCCACACATAATCAAATTGTGAGTAATTTATTCATTTTGTATGTGCATTGTGGGGCAAATGAATATAACACACTAGTTATTCTAAGTCTGCCTGAATACTTTAAACCTTAGATTTTGTTTTGTATTAGACTCAAAAGTAAGTTTAAAGTGGTAACATTTGGTGTGGATGAGTACACAGTGTTTATAATATTAAGAACTTGATTCTTTGATCATATTTTGAAACAAATTTATTTGACCTTCCTTATGGATTTGTTCATCTAAACCATCACTTTTCCTAATATAAATGTGTTGTTTCATTAAATTATTGCACAAGGTTAATTTTACATAAGTTTGGAAGTTTAGGTATTCCTACTAGAAGATCCACTGGTTGAGTGGCTTAATGTAATTTTATTACTCTATCTCTAGGGATTATTAATGTTTAATGTTGTTGAAATAATGCATAGAAGTTGTTTGAGTCACTGACAATCTTCTGTGTTTTAAGGTATCAAGTAATCAGTTCTCCAACTGATATCTTCATGGTGATGGAATATGCCTCTGGTGGCGAGCTCTTTCAGTATATTAAAAAACAAGGAAAGGTGAGCTAATGTGGTTATTTTTAATTTTTGTTTTCTAGTTGACATCATTTTAAATTTTTGTAATACGCATGATTTAGAATCTTTTGCTCATGCATATTTTTGTAAGTCATTCTTCTGCTATTGATCAATTCAACTGACAGCTGAAAGAGAGCGAAGCTCGGAAATTCTTCCAGCAAATCATCAGTGGTGTGGACTACTGCCACCGCCACATGGTCGTGCACAGGGACCTCAAGCCTGAGAATCTCCTCCTTGACCACAACAGACATGTCAAAATTGCTGACTTTGGTATGCTTTGCTTACTTGTAAAACATGCATTTATTTCTCAGGACATTATATACAATTGTGCAATCATTGTGGATAATTACTTCCTTGTGATTATTTACCAGCACTTTTACCTTGCTTGGCTCTCATTTGGTGCATTTGACTTTGTTATTGTTTGTTATATGCAACCATGCCAAATTTCTTCTTGTGACTCAAGAATTCAATGGTTGATCATGTTTCATATTGACACAAATATAGAATAAAATTCCTAAATGAAAGGTGTATATGCACTACATCCAAAAAAAGTAGCATTTTAATTAATGCACTGATATGTGTTCCTTCTCTTACTCTCTGTTTTATGGAAAATATTACAATATGTGACGTGTGTTCATGCTTAACCCTGTGATGACAGGACTCTCAAACTTCATGGTGGATGGAGAATTTCTTGGCACCAGCTGTGGATCTCCAAACTATGCTGCACCTGAAGTCATTTCTGCTAATCTCTATGCTGGTCCTGAGGTTAGGTTCTTGTCCTCAGACTTGAATAACTGTGCACTCCTTCTTCATAATGATGCATTTTGAAATCTTTTATCTATCTATATCATCTTATTTTTTGGCAATTATAATTCCTTCCTAGCCATACATGCTCTTAACATGTACATTCAATGATGGACACACACATATATATGTCCACACGCTTAATGACAAATAATGAGTGAAATTTTTTGTGCACTTCTTCATGAGCAACAATAACAACTTACACCAGACCATGGTATAAATCAAAGCAAATTATTAGCATAAATATAATTAACTAGAAGAAATTCTGGTCATGGCATGAATTTTTATGAGTTAAACATGACATTTTATAAATTGTGTGATTGTTTCCCTAACAGGTGGACGTGTGGTCCTGTGGAATAATTCTCTTTGCTCTGCTCTGTGGCTCCTTGCCATTTGATGACAAGAATGTGTCAGCCCTCTACAGGAAGATCAAAGGTATACAATTGTGGGAAATTCATTGCAATAATTGTCTATGTTATTCTTAGTAAGAGAAATTGTTTCAGGCTTTGTACAAGTACCAGTTTTGTTAAATTGAAGGCCTTGTTTCTTGACACCCAAGGCTGCACTGGAATTTGTTGTAGTCTTGGAGTAATTTCTGTGTTTAGTCTGTAGTTTTGTTTCTTCAGGTTCTCCCCTTTCTTGTATTTGTGCCTTTATTGTGGTTGTGTCTTTCTTGTGTTTGTGTCTTTCTTGTGTTTGTCTTTCTTGTGTTTGTGCCTTTATTGTGGTTGTGTCTTTCTTGTGTTTGTGTCTTTCTTGTGTTTGTGCCTTTCTTGTGTTTGTGTCTTTATTGTGTTTGTGCCTTTCTCGCATTTGTGCTCTCTTGCATTTGGGCTTTTCTTGTGTTTGTGACTTTCTTGTATTTGTGCCTCTCGTGTGTTTGTGTCTCTCTTGAGTTTGTGCCTTTCTTGTGTTTGTGCCTTAATTGCATTTAAGCCTTTCTTGAGTTTGTGCCTCTCTTGTATTTGTTCCTTTCTTGAGTTTGTGCCTTTCTTGTGTTTGTGCCTGTCTTGAGTTGGTACTATAATTGAGTTGGTACACTTCTGTTTTCTCAATTTCAGAAGGCAGGTTCCAGATTCCCAGCTACTTAAGCATGCCTGTTGTGAAGCTTTTAGTGCACATGCTGCGCGTAGACCCCATGAAGCGCGCCACCATCGAGGACATCAAGTCAGATCCCAACTCTTCTGCTCTTGACTATGAATTCTTCTTTTTTATATTGCTTCATTAAAGTTGCTGATGTGCTATCCCTAGTTTCTATGATCTGGGACTTTTTAGCTTATTTGCTAGCATTAACCCTTAATTGTTTTTACATCTTTCTCAAAATACTTGTACATGACCAAAGTTGCTTTGCTATCTTATATTTTAACAATCCTATTAATTTATTCATAAGGACTTGAAGTGGAAGCACATCAGTTGTTTATATTAACATTGGGTTATTGCTTCTAAATTGTATTATATTTTACCCAGAACGTACGAGTGGTTCCAGAAGGACTTGCCGAGTTACTTGTTCCCTCCTGCCTATGACCCCCGGATTGCTATCATTGACCAGGAGGCCATCAAGCAAGTCTGTGAGGTGAGTTAACTCTAATTTATGAGAGCCATGAATCTAATTTCTAGTTCTGACATCTGCTCCTCTACTGTGTTAGCAATGACTTTCGGGTCATTTAATAGCATTGTGCTAACTCCTTGTGTTCCAAACAGATCCACTCTGCATGCATACAAACACTCTCTATATTGTGTCATTGAATAGCTTGTGGGTTCAAATCCTCCTGCGTTTAACTGCTGACCTCGTTTGATTTGAGTCCACTCGGCCCCTGAAACTTTGCCTCAGACGTGGTGTTGTCAGCTCATGTCACGTGGACAATAGCTCTCCATGGTTTTGGAGCACTCCGAAGCTCAATGTAACTCGGCTTAGTTGGAAATCGTCCTTCTAGCGTTCCGGCGCGGAGCAAACGTCTTTCTGAAGAGCTAGAAAATCTCTTCCGCTAGCATCACCCACCTTATTCATTAACCTAATAAACTTGTTTTTTAAAAGCTAATTTTGATTTTTATAGCTATACAACTCGCTCTAACTCCGTACATTTCCTTATAGCGAATTTTTCCCTGCACTTGAAGTACTAACATACAGCTCTCGCCTGTCGCCAACTCTGCCAACTGCTGATGTGTGTGTGTGTTGAGCAGAAGCTGCAGGTGGAGGCGGGCGAGGTGCGCGAGGCGCTGTCCACGAGCGACCCGCACAATCAGCTCTCCATCGCCTACCATCTCATCGTCGACAACAAGCGCTTTGCTGACGCATCCGCCCAGCAGAGGTCAGCTTACTACCTACTTAACAACAGAAGTTGGCTTACCACTTAATCCTGCCATGTATTATTATGATGCTATGTTATAACAAGCGCTTTGCTGACGCTTACGCCCAGCAGAGGTCAGCTTACCACTTAATCCTGCCATGTATTGTTATGATGCTATGTTATAACAAGCGCTTTATGACGCCTCCGCCCAGCAGAGGTCAGCTTACATTTAATCCTGACTTCGGCTTTTATGATGCTATTCATCACTGGCGTTTTAAACCTCTATATATATAATCTTGCCACTCATCTGATTTCCACATTTCACGGCAAAAGGAAATGTTACCAGTGGAAAAAATGTTTAAAGTAAAGTTCATAGATAAATTTTTTGAGATCTAATGATAACAGCTAGCAAAACGTAATTGATTTCTGTTCACAACAACACATATATGTATAGAGTTGTAGCTGCCATCTTCATCTGCCTTCTAGTGGCAACACAGAATGTTCTCAACTTGCCTGGATTAACACAGACAAATCGGTGTTCCCGGATCGTTAAATGACATCGAGATGGTTGGTGGCACGTGGAAGTGGATGCTTTTCTAAAGGGAATTCAATTCTAGCATTTGTCACTTGAGTGGATCATAACGTATCAAGGCCTGAAAAAAATTTCAATGGTTCATAGTGTCATGTAGAGAATAAAATACTTCTTCTAATCTAATTTTTAATTTTTGTTCGTCAGCTTCCGCGACTTCTACCAAGCATGTTCCCCAACGCCACCGTCGTCTCCAGCTGTTTGTCCGCCATGCAGTACTGCTTCGCTCGTTGCCGCCTCACCATTGCCAGATGCCGCCTCACCATTGCCAGTTGTCGCCTCACCATTGCCAGTTGCCGCCTCGCCATCGCCCATTGCCGCCTCGCCATCGTACTCTGCTGCTTCGCCTGTTGCAGATCCGCTGTCGCCCGTTGCCACCTTGCCACCGTCTCCTGCAGTCGCCGGTTGTTTCTTGCGGCATCCTCAAGGCAGTAAAATTGTGCCTCTTAAGACCAGAAACCAACGATCACTCGCCAAGAAAGCAAAATGGCATTTAGGTTAGTAAGCCTGCGAATGCGGTTGGTAGTTTTCAACGATATCATTCCTAGCCGTGTATAAATTCTACCATATGCGGGGTGTTGATGAATCTGCGTGTATTGAGAGTGTCATTTCAAGCTCTGTAAGATGTTTATAATTTTTTCATATATCCAGCCGAGCAAAGTTTGTTCTGAAAAAAAAATATAGAGCATCTGCCTAAGTTTACTGAATTTAAAGTTATAATTGGAGTTTAATAATTTATTCAATATTAGTAGAAAATCTAGCATGGCGCTATAAGTGAATGAATTTTGTCGTCATTAGCCTATAATTGCTGACAGATTTGTTGTCTTCCGAGTAATTGAAGATTCAAAATGTTTGTTTCTGATAAATGTTAAGAATTTATGCGTCTCGGCGCATGCACGTTGCAGGTATTCGTTCGCAATCGAAGCCACAGGACATCATGAGTGAAGTCTTCAGAGCCATGAAAACGCTCGACTTCCAATGGAAGGTGAGTCTCCATCGAATCTTCATTCAAGACAATGAATCATTTCGCTGGTCCAATAATAATCTTTTAGATTTTTGCCGAGGTTCAGCACAAGATTTTACAGTTTTTAGCGCATTTTCGCATTTATGGAAAAAATGCACTATTGTGCTCGCCATGTCCGTCTGTCTGTCTGTCCGTCCTTGACCTCTAGTTTTCGTCGACGAGAAAATGCACGCTCTGTCACTCTGCAGTGAATACTGAGTTATCTTTTTTTATTATTTATCATAATTAATTAAAATCTCACTCCAGGTGATTGACCCTTTCCGCGTGCGGGTTCGCCGCAAGAACCCGGTCACAGGCGCGCTGGTGCACATGTCGCTGCAGCTCTACAAGGTGGACAGGAGCCATCTTCTTGACTTCCAAATAATTGACGGCGAAAATTCTGCGTCCATTGAGTCAAAACGTTAGTTCTGTTCTAGAAAATAACTTTGATGAAGAAGATACTGCAAGATCCAAGTGTACAAACGTCGTCAGTGCGGTGACTAATGTTATTCATATTTGGTAAATGCGTTATCAAAATATAGAAAACTTTCATTGGACAATGATGCAGATTTGTCACAACTTGAAACTCTTGTTTCATCAACAACAGAATTGTTTACATATTTTTTTCAGCCTAAAAATTTTCGAACGTTTGCTTAATTCATTGTTATATCAGGGAATATTACTCAGATGGAGAACGTGCCAGTTAATCATGCAGCTTGGTATTCTATCAGTTAGATGTTTGTCTCCGATAACGCTGCTAAATTTCACACTTGCAGGTGGAGGTGAAGACGAAATGGATGAGCCTCGCTGCCACCACGTCATGGAGTTCTTCGAGATGTGCGCCGCCCTCGTCACCGAACTTGCACGCTGAAGTTGAGCCTCAAGTGTCTTGAAGTGCAACTTTATGTCGGGAACTTCATTTGAAAATGCCATATTATCTACACAAAATTTATGTTTAACAACGGCAAGAAGATTTCGGTTCTGAAATTCACGCCTTTTGACGACGGCTAGCATTTTTATTTTAGTGATAACCGCTTAGACTAGAAAAAGATCGTACATGAACTCGTTCATTCGAGTGATTTCCTTACCTCGCGCAGCCTTAATATGAGATCGGGTATTGGAGTTTATTTTTGCAGGTTACAATAATTCAATAGTTAAATTAATGTAATCATTCAAATATAAGTCCCAGTTTCGTTCTCACGTTTCCTACTGATATATTATAATAGCCTACTCTTCAAGTTACTAGTCATAATAACTTTTATATGTAACGCCTTGTTGGTTATTTGTTGGACATCGTGATGTACGAATTCTATGGATATTTTTATAAGAAATTGTATGGATATTATCCTAGTACCTATATACATATAATTATTCTATTTATGATAGTACAATAGAGGAAACCGAGGCAAATTATTTGAAAATTTCTTCGTTTGATTTATTTATGAAGAAAAGTCAAATGGTGCTATGAATCCATTGAATAGGTAGATTTATTTTTATATAGTGCTATGAATTTTGTTGTTAATGTTTCTTGATGGGCTAAAAAACACAGCAAGCAATTATTGCAGTACATATCCTTCATATTTCAGCGAGTGCTTTGTTATGAAGATGCCGCTAAGGGCTGACTACTTCTGTATATTGTTAGGTATTTACAGTAGTGGAGATGCGAGTCAAGCCAAAGCAATTTGCTCAATTAAGTGCTGTGATGATCGCGTTGCACACATTCCTTACAGTTTGATATTTTGTGCTAAAACGTTAGATATTTAAAGAAACCGTGTTGTCTCTATTTCGGTAATAGTTCTGCTAAAATAATCAGAGACATGCTCAAAATGAAGATAATGGTAGCCAGTAATTATAAGCGTAGTAAACAGCAAATTTATGATTCTCAGCTTTCAAAGTTAAGAGTCCGGTGATTGCGCAAGACTTTTCCGCGACTGGAACTTGAAACAGTCGAAAATGAGGTCGTGTTCATTCCAAGCAGCTGATTTTATATTAAGATATGAAAAAAAATGTTCAATGTCAGTTCATATTTTGTCGCTGGAGATTTTTGCGTTCGTAAAATTTTGGCTTTAGAATTCGATCGAACGTTGCATAGTTTCGGAGTCTGGTAGAATTATTGTGTCATATTTGATGTGGGAACTCAAATTATTTTTCTTGTGAATGAGATATGCGGCTCGTGAGTCGTTCGCGTCTAATGCAGGCTTTAATTAAATGCAACCATTGTATAAATGAACGCTAATATTTATGCCGAAATTTTATGTTTTATGAAATATTATTTTTTAATATGCACTCGATTTGTAGCGAGATAACTATTTGTACTTGTAATACAAGAACAAGTAGTTAACTACTACTTGTAATAGATAACTACTTGTACTTGTTATGGATAATAACTATAACTACTTGTAAGCTTTGGGAACATGAACGTGCAATAATCATTGTGATACTCGGCCTTACTGTTACGCTAGCTACTCTATTAATCTTTCCCACATATGTGCTCATGGTGTATAACGATGTTAATGGTAAACTAATTATTATTGGTTTACCATTAATTATTGCAAATCATAATTTCATATCATAATTATTATAATCATAATTATATTATTATCATATAATAATCATAATTATTGCAATATTTACTTTATATTCAAGTTTCATTTGCCCGCCACTTCAGGCAGGGAGTGCGTCGATGTCTTGTTCTCAGCGCCGGTGACCTTGGCAACCGCAAGTGATGTTTGGAATACACGAGCGCTCCGCCCTTACTACGTCGTCCTCTGTAATGCATTGACTAGACAATATACACAGAATGGAATGAAAAATAAAGTATACGGATATATTTATAGAGAAAATTACAGAGAGATTCGGACTTTTTACAGTGATGATACAAACCCCAAAATTTTCGGGTAAAATCACTTTTAGTGAGGCAAGGCATCCAAATAGGTCTCTGTATATGAAAGTTGTTAAGGTTGAGAGTAGAAATCGAAGCGGCAAAGCATTAGAACGTGTCTATGTGCATCGCTTAAACTACTTCAACTGTCCACGTGAATATCAACGTCCTTTCAGTTTTATATATGAACGTACGAACGATATATATGCCATTGCCAGATACAAGAAACGTGCTTACATAATTATGAAATGTCAATTCTTGCTTTGTTACATGTATGGCATCCTTCCATCTTGAAAGATTATGGTTACGCCCCGTACAACTTGCCGAACGAGTGTCAAGAGAGGGTCGCTAGTGTGCCTCTGGCATGTCTCTTGACCGACCGCATTTGACGAGATGTTACATAACAAAGAGTCTCAAAGTTAAAGAGTCCACAAGCATGGGAGTCTGATGGTGCGATGAATCCGTGCAATCTTTCGAACGTCTTTAATGATGCGGAGGTCATCAGATAGGCCGATGCACATCGTACACACGTTATGCTAGAGATGGTAAGTGTTGGAGATAACGTTGGCTTTCTTTCATTGTTGGTTAATTGTCTGTCTTTCACAGCAAGGTGAGACTGGGACAGTCACTCCACGAAGCATGCTTGGGCAAAAGAATGGAGATTTTGCGCTGCCCAAACAATAGGATCCTCCCTCTCGGTCGTGCCAACTGGATCCAAGGGAATGCAATCATTATGCATAGAGCCGACTTACTACAGGAGTTGCCGGAAGGCCGTCAAAGTTGACAGCAAGCCACTCAGATTTTGCTTCGAGGTTCACCTCAGAATTACGCTATTGGTTTACCGTAAAAATTGAAAACGCTCCTCAACTTCTCTGTTAGTACTTTTCTGTTTCTCCGTATTTCGCTTCGTTAATTTTGAATGAGTTCCTGCATCAACATCAAGCTTGTGCCACGTTTTTCTGCCCGATGCAGTAGCTTTGCACTCAAAGTCCGTGCAGTTTAAGTATAGGCTCCATACTGTAATTTTAGAATAAATAATGAATTTTAAACTTTGGGTGTTGCAGCTGAACCCCGACGATTTCGTCTCGGATTTGCATTGAACAGAGGCAGCTCTGCACCATGAATAGATTACAATCCAAACATTTGTTGCTAGCTCTTATCGCGTCTTTGAACAAGTCAGTCTATTTGTCGCCGTGTGACAGCCAAGCTCGCATCACTTTGGTCCAGATCTCGCTGACCGACAACTGCCCGACTGCTTGCCATGATGACCAGCACATCACTATTGGTGTCAACCTCACCATCACTTTATGATGGGAGTGACAAGCAGCGCACAATCATGAACATCATGCCTCCCATCCTCTAAATCAACTCAAGGCACCGAGTACAATAAGGAATAATATCTTGCCAGCGAGGCACAAATTTGACCGAATCCAAGTTAAGGCGCTAAACGTCATGGAAAAATTCACAAATCTGTATGTATCTCGTTGCTTTAATGAAATCGATAAAAATCGCTGGGAACTAGAAACATTCCAGAATAAAAGTACGCAGAGTTACTAAAATAAACATTAAAATGTGACTTGCATCAAACGGCATGCACTGATTTCGTCTGCCTCAATGTTTCCAAGTTATGGGTGTTCAAAAAAAAACAAATCTGGTAAAACACAAAAATTCAAAATGTAACAAATGAGACGAGCATCGATCGAGTCAAAGACGCGATGCTGACTCATGCCAACGTACTAATACTTCCTCAAGAGCAGAGAGCAGTAGGAGTAACAAGCAGCGCTCATACTAATAACTCACGATGAGTTAGTTTAGTGGCCAAATGTTTACTAGCGCTTCAGCTATTTAGCTATCTCGCACCGAAAGTCAAGATGAACATCACCATAGAGGTGGAAGGTCTCAATTATTCATCACCCTAACCCACGATGAGAAGCGAGAGCTCAAGTTTTACTATACGTTCAGCATCGTGAAAGTGCAAAAGGTAAATATCAATGATCAGCTTCCTGAACGTAGTATGGTATTATTGCGACAAAAAGGACTAAATACATACACTTGAAGAATACGAAGTACCCTACCCACTCAAAGAAGGAATCCTAATACCTAGTTAGTGTTAAGTCACGAGCTCAAGTATTCATCGTGCACTGGCTGCATGAAAGAGGAAGTGATATATTTCATTTACTATTCTACAAATAACTTTGATTAGAGGAAAGGAAAGCAAAACCTTGACCCAATTAGGTTAGGGCTATTGACCTAATTCAACCTACAAAATATCGCTTTGAATGATTTTTAACTAGCAGTGAGAAGCGAAATAATAAAAAAAAATTAAATGAAATATTTCCTGATCTAGAGCACACGAGCAGTAGCATCAAGATTACAGGACTTAAACGGGAGAATTACAGGGTGACGAGGTAGGTAAGTTAGAGGAGTCGATGCATCGCTGAGAAGACAGTCAGTATCAGGATCTCATCAAAAACACTAATCATGAACTAGACGAGTAAGAAAATGCGAGGGAAAAGTTCAAGACGGCTATTGGTTAATGAAGAACAAATGATGGCATTATGCAAGCTTCACAGAACCTACTGCAGCGCGTGCAATTGATGCAAGAAAGAAATGAATACGAAATGAATTCAAATATTCTAGGTACTCTTTAAATAATATCAAGTCCATGAATGAGGTAATTAAGAATACGAACAAAAGATTGACACATGGTGAGCAAGCCGATTTCGCTCTACTTCACAACTCAGATTTACGTTGGTCATCACTAAACGAAGACTGTTAACAACCATGGATGGTGCGAAACTGCAATGAAGTTCAGACTCGGGCAAACAACAAGATTTAAAGAAAATGAGGCATCAGGTGCTCGCAAAAAAACACCATTCAGAAAGAGGGAAAAAACACAAACTCGTAAAAGTACATAAGTTGAGCTCTTACATTGTTTAAAAAGCAAAAATCGCAAAACTTGGCCAACTAAATAAATCACATCTAAAGTTACACAAACAAATAGAAAGGCGAAACAAGTAAGAGTGAATTTTTTCGCCAACTAATACTAAACTTGTCACATTTGAAGGCACCAAGGAATCTTTAGCACCAAATTAAATGACCAGTGCGAGAATACTTCTTACAAAATTCGCGATCAGAGATTCACCCACATTCTACGCATAACAAAGATTGATTAAGGGTACAAGGGAAGAACGTTACCAATGCATTGAATGCATAATAATTATAACGTAAATAAATAATTTTTTTTATTAAAATAAATTCTATGCCTGTTTCTGCATGTTTGGTCTGTAACAATTAAATGTATTAGTCCTGCAAGTGTTATTGACAAAGTATTAATGAGTTAGGCTTAGATGCATTCTCACCGCTATATTTATCATTCAATGCCATAGCATATTTAATCTCTGGTAACGAAAAAAAAATGCATACCAGCTCGGCAGAGGGCAAGAAGCGAGATGCCAGTGCCCAAGCAGGTGTACTAACTTACGACTCCTACGATCACAGCAATACACATCCGTATAATTGGCAGAACCGGGGCGACTTGATAGATAAAATTACGACATATGCACGAGTTAAGAAATATACAACAAAACCTGAGGCATCAGACGATCGTGTAGGCTTGAGAGGCAAGAGAACAATATATAAGCAGGCTTTAGAAGGCAAGAGACAATATAAGATTAATTTAAATTATGATTTCAATTATCGTAAAGTACCTAGTAGTAGTAGAATGGTTTGCTAGCGCTTCAGCTTTCAAGCTATTTCGCGCCGGAGGTCAAAATGCAACATCGCCTGAAGGCGGAAGGTCTCAATTATTCAAAGTCTCGAATTATTCATCACCTACAAGGAGCGGAAGGTCTCAGTTGTCCAGCCCGCTGAAGCTGGCTCGAGAGAAGCAGCGTTAGCATCTCTAAGGGTACGCACACAGTGGAAGCAGGTTTGCCCGCGCGGGCAACCTGCTCCAACCTGCCACAAGAATGAACATAGGATAATAATGTAAGTGTTCACAGTGAAAACCTGTACGAATAGGCTTCTGTATTCTATGGTTTCAGGCGCCAGCCTGAGCAGGTAACCAGCACGCTGGCAACCTGCTTTCACTGTGTGCGTACCCTAAGAGACGAAGTGACAAGGAGGGACAGATGAAAAGTAACAGAACCTAAGACACCCGAACAAGAGGTCGCTCACACGGGACGTCGGCCGCCCGCACGAGAGAGACAGAGAAGGGAAATGTACGGAACCCTGCCTACATAATAACTTAACCTCACAACTGAGACCAACGGTCAGAAATTGCGAGCTCAGCGGTGGGGCGCTCAGGAACAATCCCCTTAGGACAATTAAAAATAAATGAAGCAACTAATATTTGATTAAACGAATAGAAAAATACGTAAGAATATACAATTCGTGGATGGATTACGAATGAGTTGTAGTAAAGAGCACCCTTTCAAAGCACTGCAAATTCCAAACAACCGCTCCAAACTAAAATAAAGTATTAATTTTAGGACGTCGCATTAAATTCATTCGTCCACTGAAATTGGCACTAACTAAAGTTCAGTAAATACGATCTCTTTAAACCAGACGAAAATGTCTTCATCGTGGTAGTATATAAGCAAGTATTCAAGTACTTAAACAAATGCATGCACCGAAAGATTTTCACAGGCAACGGCGCAGCCAGCCGATGCTGAACGTGAATCAAGAACACGTTCAAGAAGAACACTCGAGATTAACACGTTCAGATGAACATGTTCATCTGAAACAGCGGCGGACGATTGCCAGCGCGATGCAGCCTGTATAACAGGAGCAGCGCTGGTATCTCTAAATGAAAAATAAGAAAATTTTACCCCAACAGCAATAAGGACACAAGAGATCGCTAGCAAATCACGTGGTCGCCTACACAGGTAGAACACAGGACGGAGAGTGCATAGAATCCTGCCTACAGAACAGCTTAAATCCCCCAACTAAGATATGAGCTCTGTGGTGAGCACCTAGGAAGCGCAGGCAAGACAAGCACATTTAAGAGCCATTATGTCTCACTTGAGACAGCTTCGTCGATTAATGGAATTCAGAAGAAGTTGACACACAAAGAACAAACTTTCTTCTAATACAACACATCACTGTTGGCAATATAAATGAAAAAATATGATCGAACCTGATGAAAAATCTTGCTCATCATTAAATTAAACGCATTTGCATTTTCAACTAATGCCAATCATTGCGAAAGGTACAAATGATAAGGAGATGTACAGTCAGTCCTACCCCTTAAATAAAAACTTAAATGGATCAAAAACTTTCTCGATCAATGCCCGACTTCTTCACAGTGTCACATCAGCGTCAGTACCATAAACGCTTTGGATGTATCCTAAAAACATGGGGACTCAATGAGGAATTATGTAGATGCGACTTATCGAATAAAATATTTCACAGAAGTAAAACGCTCATAGGAATGAAAATAAGTACAGTCACGAGAGAGGCCAAGTTTTCCAACACGAACATTGAGTGAGTTGATTACATGGAGCTAGGGTAAATTCTTCCCAGCCGAGTACAGGAAGCACGGAGTGTAGTGTTCCAATAGAAATGTTGCGTCCGGTTTGATTCGTCCAAATAGTCTAATGTGCATTCGTTCATGTGGGGTTAATGGTAATCAGATTATTATAATATCACGAATGTGCAGTAAATATTACCTCAAGGTATGGTTTTCAAAACCATTTGAGCGGCGCACGTCACGAATCAGGGCCACACTTTCACGTGAAGCAGCATTAGTGCTATATGCGGTGGCAAAATAACTTCGAACAACATTAGCACCCACGTCGATGATATTACGTCGCCTTTCTGAGACAAGCTACCGGTATTCTAGCAAGCACATCAATAAACGTCAACAAAAATCGCCGGCGTGCAGCGTGAGAATCGTTAATGATCGCTAGCAGCAGCGTTAGGTCCATCCCACCGCCTCAGCTTGGCACACGGCCTGCTTCCATCTCAACTTGACAGCCCACTCAGAGCATTGCTATTTGGGCAAATTTTACGATTCTTAATCACTATTAAGGTGAAAAATTAATTTTTGTCATTGGCTTTTAAAAGGACTTCAGTTTCTTCAAGATAATCTTGATGAGAAACTCTGGACTGGTCGTCCGCTTCTTCTGAAAATAAGTTGTATGGGTGCGTCTTTGAGCCAAAAGACGAATCCCTTGAGCCTGCAGCAATAGAGGCATCAGAATGATTACAAAGCTTATTGCTTTTCGTATCTGTTAGCATCATATCGTCAAGCTTCTCATCCTGCCGACATGCGACATCAATGGAATTGCGACTTTGATCTGAGGTAGCAGGCGGCAGAGCGACAGGAAGGCAAGTCCCGGCACTCGTGGACTGCTGAGCAATATTGAAAAAGCCCAGCTTGGAAGCAGGCGGTTCTAGGCAGGAGGACTCGGCATTATTGACCGAAAGCGCACGAGAGGTGGACAGTGGGCGCGGCGGCGACGCCAGACGAGCAGCGGGCCGCAGCCTCTCCTCCAGGATGTTGTCAACTGTGGCAGCGATGGACCGCGTAAGTCGCAGGTCCTCCATTATTTCCCAGTAGTCGGCATGAGGAAACATTTGCTGTACCTGCGCAGCAAATATTCCTGCAGTGAAAAATATAACAAGTAAGGTTGCAACTGGATGACAATAAACCAGGTTAAAAACTGGCAAAATTTCCCCCGAGTACCTACACGGATAGCTATCAGAATTAATTGCCATGAGATGAGCGGACAAAAAATAAAGCAGTAAATTGAGTGATACTGTGAATAAATAACAGATACATCTGTGCCAGTAATGTTCATGGCTAGCAATCTCAATGTTTCACTCATTATTATCTTACACAACATAAACAAGACAAGCACTGTACCTGCACAGCCATGGCGTGCACGGAGCTATCAGGCGACACGCCGCGGCGGGCGGGCGGCAGTTGCGTGTGTCGCTGCTCGACGCTGAACGACGACAGCCAACTGACGTAGCGGTAACCATCGCTGCCAGCACTACTGCTGCCGCTTCCTTCTTCTCTTCTCCCTCCTCCATGTGGACCTCGCGAGTCATTATCACCAGTCCAGAACAAACCATCATTCTCGAGCATAAACGATTCAGAACCACGGTCCAGGTCATCAGAGTCTCCTCCAATGGAAGATCCGTCACGTCGAAGGATTGCCTTACCAGTGCCAGTATCCTGATTAAGTTCCTCCTGAACGTCAGACAAGCTACCGGGTAGCGACACGTCTTGATCAGGACTCGGCGTTGTAGTTATTTCTTCAGGCGAAGGATGAGGATCATGTGGGAGAGCCTGGACTCCTGCAGCGGAGATTGCTTCATTGTCAGGGCGCGGGCCGTGACGAGGGGTGCTGTGCTCACTGCTGCTGCTGTCGCTGCCTTGCGTCATCTCCAGCGGGTCAGACGACCTGCGGCTCCAGAGACGAGCCCACAAACTCCGCTGGTTTTGATCCTGAACAAATGCAACTCGTACGAATAACTGTCGTTTAATCTAAGACTAAAGCAGCTCATCAGTAAGCATGACTTATTTCAACTTGTTGTATTGAGCAAAATAAGAAGCAGATTTTAGACATTAAGAAATATGTATATTATACGTAAGTGTCTTCAGTGAGGACAAGCCATTCGTATCAAAGCATCAAAATTTTCCGTTTCAAGTGGCATGAGGTTTTTTCACATCCCTCATAAAAATTTCCCTACATCATGAACACTCTATGAAAGTTGCACTTCTGTTCCGCATTCATAATTGAGAACCAATGAAATCTAACAGCCTAAAATTTCAATAATAAGCATTCGTTTTATGTAATTAAATAGTAGTAAATGTTGACTGACAAGTTGTTGCTGGGGTCGTAAGCGGTGTCGGCAGGTGGGGCAAGAGAGGTGCTGCGGTAGCCAGGCCAGCAGGCAGTCCGTATGGAAGGTGTGGTTACAGGGCAGCTGGCGCCCCACACACACCACCTCCCAGCAGATGGCACACGTCGTGTCCTCGCTTTCATTTTCTCCCACAGCTGGTTTCACTTCAGGGTACCTGCAACACAAATATGAAGTTATTGCACTAAATAAATTATAGCGCAGTAGGGGAAGTGATATGATAGGATGATCAGATAATCAGTTGTCAGTGTGAACGAGGGAGATGCTCAAAATCAAATTTAGGTAAAAGAAAAAGAGGGGAGAACATGACTATACTTTGGAACGGATGAGCAAAATGGGAATAAATCCATCAAGATAGATGGCAAGTGGGTACTGGTTACTAAAAGCTGATATCGGTGAAATTTTTATGACGACGAAAGGGTACCAATGAAAAAATAATTTCATAATAATTTCACTTGGTTGCCAAACTATACATCGTTCAAGTGATGTTTCTCGTTGTCAAAACCTGATGTAGTTTCGTTCAGAAATCAGGGTAACTCTGCTAGGCATTTGGCGAGGCATGCAAACAAGTTGCCTTAAGGCTTATTTCTCATATGTACAACAACTCGATCAATGCTTAACAACTTCTTTCTAGAGCTGTCACGTAAAAAGCTTATTACATGGAGTTTAATCCTGTGAGTGGATTAGCCGCAATATCGCTATATCGTGATATCAATCGCCCATGTAACAGCCATGAAATATCCACGTCTACAGCTGACGGATAATCTTAAAGCCACTACCTCATTCGAGTTTACCACCACCTTCTCACCTTCTGGCGTTACCCCACCTTCTTCTGGCGTTAGTTGGGGCGGGGGCCCAACTAATGCCAGTTCAAAAAATAGGGATACTTCCCTGCCAAGCCTTGTCGCAGCGTCACATGTTGACACTATACGTCAGTGTCTATAACGTTCAAGTATACGAGATGTCAATAGTGAAAATAATATCATAACAAACAATATATAGGACAACCAATCAATTATAACTGGTCGTACGCAATATTAAAGCGGTTTCAGCGTTTATTAGGCCATAGGCCTGTCGCCGATTCTTAACATCGCAGAACATCCACAGCTTGTTGCGGTCTCGAACTCGCAACTCACTGCTACAATTCTGCTGAGCTTAACCGCCCGGCCTCCTTGCCGATTCTGACCAGAAACTGGCGCACAGAGCTGGGATCGAACCCGTGCCTCTCTGCGCCAATCATGGTACTCTGAACTTTAACCACTGGGCCACCCTGCCACAGACTTTGGTAAATTTGGTTTTTGCCACAGACTTTGGTAAATATTGTAAAACAGACTTAGCTCGCTTCAAATACAAAAAATATCACGAGGAAATTTAATGAAATGTAAAAAATGGTCTGACATTGAAAACTATACACAAGTGAAATTTTACGAATTAGCGAGATCGTTTGTAGAAACATGAAGCACTAGAAATAATTTCAAATGATCCGTAGTTGTGAAAATCCCGTGCATATTGTCAACTTCAATGAACGATATAGTAGGCACTGACCGAGCTAAAAGCTTGCGCACTCTGAGGTAGTTGCGGTGAGTTTTGACTTTGTGTTGCAGTTGGTAGAAGAGCAGGCGCAGCTGGAGGCAGATCACCAGCGAGGCCATGGTGAGCATGATGTTACCCCAGACCAACATGTGGATGTGGTGCGCCATGTCTATGCATAACTCGCTCAGCTCGAACACAAGCTCCGTCACGTACACGTACCCGCCTACAAACAAACGAATCTTAAATCGTCACCTAAAACATATCTCAAGTATTATGAGAGAATATGCTAAGTAAATTTCAGACAGAAAAATATTTCTTACAATTCCTATAAGTAAAACATCAAACAGAAAAATTTGATATTTCAGAATTCACGTAATCATATTAAATTTCAAAACAAAAGCTTTGGGTTTATTTCATTTATATCAGAAAATAGTTGCATGCATAAAAAAAAGACAAACCTCGTTTCTCCCAGAGGCCCTGATGGCTTATATCCCAGAGGTAGATACTGTAGCGCGTGATGACGTACAGAGTGCGCACCATCAGCAACACGCACTGCGCACCAGCAATGTTATCTCATAAACATATAACAAACGCACGTTGTTGCTGAGGGTAAAATGCGCAAAAATTTTCACTGTGAAGCAAAGTGATATCAATTAAGATGATAAAACTGGGGTTGGGTCATGGCTGACGACATAGCCAGACATTAAATATTAATGACAAGAAGCATGTGATCAAACGCATATGACTCGTAGACCGAGCGTTCTGTAAAACTTGCCCACCTCTGCTGCCATGAAGGCGAATGTGTTGATGCCAGCATGACAGCCTACGATGCCCGAGATGACGAGGCAGGCTGACGCCAGCAGCAGGATGATCGTCAGTAGCCCCAGCAGACGAAGGTGAGTGCGGCGACCAGTGTGGCCAGAAAATGAGAGCTGCAACGCATTACATACCGGTATTGTACATATTTTACAAAATAAACTGTTAAAGATATAATGAACTGTTGCAGGATAAACTTCGGAAACTATAGCAGTCACTGCGATAAACCAAGTCTCAAGTGAAAAAACTAACTTTAAACAGCAAAAGATGTTTATGAAAAACTAATTCTTGTCAGTGGTATATGCAAATAGACGGTATAGGGTAATGATGCACCAAGTTCACCACGAACTGCACACTCGTTACACAACTCACGTCAAAAAGCCTGGGAAAAATTTGCGTCAGCATTGCTAATGTCTGCGGTCGACGACGAAACAATTACAATGCAAAATACCAAACGGCTGCAAATGAAAATTTTAATACGTACGGTTACGTAAGATTCATAACGGAACTTTATTTGTGTGCATGAGCAATTTAATGTAATATCTCTATTCGGATCTCTGTACAACACGGCCTGTTTTGAAAGTTTGGCGTGAGTGCGCGAGTTGCGCCTGCAGGCAAGTTCGCCTTTCAGGAGTACTACTGGTCTTTGCGTCAGAAATACTTTATCAATATACGGCTATATACGCCCTATATGTTATACCAAGGTGAGGGAACTGGCATACACGCAGCCACGACCGCGGCTGCTCTGACGCGAGGCACAACTGTGGACATCGCACCAGCCAAGCGGCACGCATTACAGTTGCTGCGGTCAATACCGCACGCTTTATATTCGTCTTGGTCTCACTAATGATAAATTCGCATGAAATTTTTAGGTATAAAGTCCTGATCCAGGAGTCGTTAAGTCTCACTAGTGCTGGATTCGTGTTACAAAAAAAATCCTAGCACACAAACTGATATTGATTGATGAACAGGAATGATGAGTTGTGCGATGAGACTGGGCTGAGGGGGATTGAAGGCTGCAAGCTTCAATAATTCACAACTCGGTCATCGCCTGGAAAGGTCAGGGCTAACACCTACAAGACAATGAACGGTAGAGGATAAAATCTGGAAATAGCTGAATACCTCCATGATGATTTATACATTATAAATAATACTGGTGTAGTTTGGCAGAAGATTTTCTTTAATGCAGGTTTCATTGAAGACCAGAGAGTATTTCTTATTGACAATTTTCTTATTGTTTTTCTCTATTCGGCGAATTAGGCTCTTGATAGGAACTGAAAAGTCAAATATCAGGTTTCCAAGGGACATTTTATTATAATTTTAATTTTACGACGTTTCGAATGCAACTTCATTCATTATCAAGTAGAGGAAGAGTTTTGCAACAAGCGAATTTGAAATTTTGAAATGACAATAGTACAAACATAGGGTATTATGGATACAGATTGGAATCAAAGCTTGAATTACGAGAACAATTTTAACGTCCTGACAAATCCGGTAGTTTGTAAATTAATAGTTGGAGACTCATGCTTGATGATGAGAGCCTCAGCTATGGCCAGTCTCGTGGCGTCTGGGCATCTCATGACGATTCTGGTGTGGGTCTCCAACGTCGCGCGAGTGAGGGTCTCATTATGAGCCTCCCTCATGTGGTTCTTCGGTCCTCCGGTCTGGAGGTGGCATGTTAGGCGGCGGCTCAAAGTCGTGCTGGTCAAACCGATGTAATTTACGTTCTGGAGAAGTCTACAACCTTCTTTGTGGCAGGAATATTTGTAAATAACATTAGTTTGTTGTAATGGGCCCGACTTTTTGCATGGGTTATTTTTCATTATCAAATTCTTGACTTTCATGTTTTTATAGTAAATCAGGAGTTTGATTCGGTCAGCTGTGGTTGTGCTTCTGATTTTATTGAGCACAATTGATTCGAGGACTCTTTCGTCAGTCTTGTGGGCTTCAGTCATCTGATTTTGGTAATAAATTGTTATAATACTTTCGTTAGATGCTGGTTCATTGTCCGTTTGGTTTTGTCGTGCTCGGTAGTTTGAGATTTCGCTGTCGATAGTTGTATTCGCATAACCGTTGTTCACCAGGATTTGCTTGCAGGCCTGGAGTTCAGTTCTCAAGTCACTGGCCGATGTACAGGTTTTAAATGCTCTGTGTATTAAGGCGCGAATAGTGCTGGTTTTGTATCGCTGGGGGCATTCACTTGCTTCGTTCAGAACTCTTCCGACGTCTGTAGGTTTTCGGTAAACTGTAGTGATGAACATTGTATCTTCCATTTGTACGAGTACATCGAGGAAGGGCAAGGACTGATTCAGCCCGAATTCGCAGGTGAACGTCAAAACTGAATTGAGTTCTAAGGCCACGCGTAGGCTCCGTCGTGTGATTCTTGTCTCGAACAACGACAAAAATGTCATCGACATATCTACAGTAGATTTCATGCCTGATTGTTGCGTCCGACAAGACTCGGTTTTCTAGTTCGCACATGTAGAATTCAGCAAAGGTTGGACCCAGAGGGCTGCCCATGGCAACACCGTTGATTTGATGGTAAATTTTTTTTATAAATAATACGTACATGGTCAATAAGTAATTTGAAATTGCTAGCAGGTAGGCTGCTGGAAATTTTTTTTTTATTCAAGTGAATCAAGTCTGACGACATGCCGTGAAGTGGGGCGCCAGTTGAAGCGACATGAATGGAAAGATGTGACTTACATCTAAGAGGTTTTATTTTTTTTTAGATAATATTGACCGTGCAAAGAGATAAATAAAGAGACTAATTTATAAATCATCTTCGAAAAATTCGTCAAGTGATTTTTGGATGAAAAGACTTCATCAAGTTGTCTCTGAAGGCAAGTCTTGAAGCTAGCCAACCTCAAAGTTTCAAACAGGTTTATCGAGTTTGTACGTTGAATGAGGACAGGCAAGGTAAGTTCTCATCCGTATATACGGTACTTCTTCGAGTAGGACGCATCTTACTATTCTTTGTTTAAGCAAATCACTGTCGAGGACCTTTCCTAAGCCATCGTCTTCAGAACACAAGTAAATTCCGTGTTCCTCTCATTATACTGCCTATCGTGGTGGCGCGTGAGTTGCTTGGAACTGAACTGCGGTGCATTAGCTCCGTGTTATCATTTTGAAACTTACAACGTATCATACATAATACGTGCTTGTCACTCGCTAAGCACTGCAATTACACGCATGATAACTAACCGCACACTGCCATTAATTTGCCCCCGTACTTCTCAAAATGAAACGTACATGACATGTAAAAGATGAGGACGGCTTCCCGTTTCAGTAGCCCCAACTGAAAACGACTTGGTCTTAGACCGCGATACCGTAATGTCGATGGATTGGTCACGCACGTCTCTGAACGCAATACAATACCTATTTGCTGCACGTAATATTGCAAGCAGCTTGCTGCTCAATTTATAGCGATACAAATTATACAGTAAGTTTTTTTATGTAATACTCACATACTCAAACCTATCTTTGCAGAGCTGGGCCAGGAGATGGAGGAATCCCAGCACGCTAAACCATGAGCACCAGAGCACAGCTTCGTCCATGTGCTTGACGTTCATCACTCCGAACACGAAGATGAATTTATAGAAGACAAAGTTCCAGAACTTGTCCTTGATGTGCTGTTGCTCCGACACCCGCAGCTCGCCGAACACCATGTGCTGGATGGTCGTGCCCAGCAGGATGAGCACACAGTACGCCATGTTGATCAGCGTCTGCACCAAGGAAAAACACGTCGCTAACTTGACTGCACCCACACAAACACGTCGTTAACTTGTCGAGTGCTACCCATGCAATTAAAAAGCATATTGTAAAAATATAATGGCGTTTTAGGAGACAGTTGCCACCCGAGGCTGGCTACGTTCATACAGAAGGTACTTAATAATGAATAATGTGCAAGAACATTCAGGATGGATTGATACTAAAGATAATTATGGAAACGCGTTGTTTGAAGTTTAGTTAGCTTGTCGCTGAGTAAAATAGCTCGTTACTTATATATTACTTGACATTCATAATAGCGAATATTGCAGCCATTTTCAATACCAACGAAAATCTAATTTTCGCCTACTGTGGCCACTCAAAAAATCTAAATTAACTTCTGTAATATAACCTTCAGCGCAGATATTTATTAAACTTCAACTATTCTGTCCATTCATGACAAAATTTTATACTTTATTAAGCAAAAAGTAATCTAAGACAGATCTAGTAGGTTAATCATAATCATCATATATGAACTAGAAATCATACTGCGATATCCAAGGACGTACTATCAAAATTTACAAGTTCATAAGTCCGACTGCTAATCACTGACGGCTTTTCAAGCTGCACTCATCAATCGCAGGCATAAATTTAGCCACTGCCTGCACTTTGGCGAGTTTTGATACTCCGGCCCCGTTTTTTTCGGATTGCTACGCTAATGAACACTGATGAATTAAGTCTCACCCAGATACAGAGCGGCTCATGGAACATGAAGCTGATGATTTCGGGAATGAGGTATGGCGACATCTCCCTCTCCCTGTCGTCGCATGAACGCTCATTGAGAGGCAGGTGAGGCAGGGACAACTGCCCACTGCGTTCGTAGCTGTCGTAGAAGGTGTTGCATTGGTTGCTAACTTTCTTAGCTTCATCACTTTCTTTGTGAGCTGGTGGCGCAAAACTTTCATTGATTGTGGATGATGGCGGTAGAGAGGCATCGTTTGAATGCTTACTTCCCTTGAATGCGATGACGCCAGAGAGTTTAGATTTTTTGTTATACTTCATAGCCAGCTTTCGTGCAGCTTGCAAACAACGGCGTTCGTATTCCTCAGGAGAAAACAGAGTCTTGGACAACAAAAATCTTTGCTGGTTGAAACTTAGATAATTAGTGTAGGCAATATCGTCTGAATTGATTCTTAAGTAGCACATTTCATCGTAAAGAACAGATTTTATTATATCTTCAAACGATTCTTTAAAACAACTATTTACGGATTGGGAATCAAAAGAAGAGGTTAACTGAAAGCTTATGGTGTTTTGTTGCCAAGGATAACAGACTCCCTCGTCATCTGGATCGTTGGGGTTGAAAACCCCCCAATGGAGGGGCAGGTTATTGCTGTGATGGAACCCGTCGTCTCCTTTGGACAGAGCTGACTGGCGTAATGCAAGCTGCTCCTTCCAGTCAGGGTTGATTTTCACTTGCACGCCGGCATAATAAACTGAGCAGAGTAAGCAGAAGACGCTGATGCCAGTGTACCAGGTGATGTTAGGCAGGGGCAGCCGGTCTAATATCACAGGCATCTTGCCAATGCTCTTTGATCTCACAATAATCACCCAAAAAGTATCACAAAATATCACGAGTTAAAGCTTTACATGGGTTTCACTTTCATGAAGTACAGTTTTCACACAAAGGCTTCATTATAGATGTTTTTTAATATATAGGAAACAAACACCCAGAGAAAGAAGCCATCAAATGCTCTGAAATAGGAAAAAAAGACAATTAAATGATATCTTGTTTATAGTGAACACATCCAATACCAGCTAGTTTATACAAATGTCTTCCAAGACTAAATATAATTTATGTGAATTGCTTGTTTCTAAATAATTTCAAGTAATTTTCTCTATTCACATTCTTGATTCTTTCACACAATATTTAGAAAAATTATTAAAAAAAATTATCTACTAGATAAGTGCAAAAATTAAATATAAGAGCATATAATTATTAAGATTTGTGAAAACAATAGGCCATGATCTACAATGGACTGACTGAAAGATATATATACATATAAATATATAGGTATATATATATTGTTTACATACTATACATATAGGTACCGTATAAGTGATCTAGAAGTATTCAATGCAGATACCAGGACTGCAACAAATTAAAATTATGTTTAGGCACAATTTCTGTTGAAAAGTAGACTAATTTCATGGTTTGCATCACTTAGCAACACTTCAAAACAAGTAAAAATGAGTATAACATATTAATTCTGTCAAAGGGGTCTTACTTCATAAATTCTTAATTTTCCATTTTATTCTTTCATTTTTCAGTGTAAATTTTGTCATTTCTCTATTCTTCAAGATGAAGGGCCAATGCAAAATTCATTTATTTTACATTAGTACTTCATCTTGAGGCCAACTTTTCCAACAAATTCTTTATTACTCTGTGGTGTTTTACAGATTTTTATTTGAATAATAAGCCCATTATACTAACAATAAAAATTGAAAATATATTTTCTCATTATTTCTCAAAACTTGTTAAAGTTTCTGTTTAATTGATTACAACTTAATACCTGATGTGATTGTTCACCTCATGTGACACAAGAAAACTTGGTCAATAATTTGTCCTCTAAACTACAATGTTGGAATGTTTATGTTAGGACATGATTTGGTTTGCGAAGTTAATGGAAAACATTAGGTTATGTAGTGTCCTCATGTTGCTATGATATGCGTGTCATTTATCAAAACGATCATTTCTTCAATAATGCAAGGTGTGGGATGTTCTCAGGTGTTTATAGGCACTATAAATAAAATTTTCATTTTTGCTTCCCCTGACTTTAGGAGAATTAGACTCCATTTTTGATGCTGTAGTCTCAAATGTTTGTGTAAAGCTTGTTAAAAGTTCATAAAATAAGATTGAAAAGAGAGTTGTAAATGTAAGCCTGTAGTCAAGTGGCTGAAATAAGAGGAGAATAGTTGATGGACTTTTGTCACATTCTGTAGAGTAACCATTTCATATTTTGACTCCTGAAATAGACTAAAATTTTAGCATATTTGACAAAGAAGGTAGAGCAGGCAGCATTGTGAGCAGAAAATTTCACTAATATGCATCTATGCTTGGCTGTAGAGGAAAGAGGAAAAGATCATGTCATAGTAAAGCTGCATCTGCCACAACAACCAGCAGCAGCTACAATTGAATGTATGTACAAATACAAAAATACATTCATAAATGTATGGAGAGAGGACATGATGGCATTGAATGTACAAATACCCACAAGTTCATAGATGGATGGTGAAAGGAAAAGATTGTGTTGATGCAAAGCTACAACCACTGTGGCAGCAGCTGGCATTGAATGTATGTACATGTATGCACACATACATTCCTGAATGGGTGGTGAGAAAGCATGATTGTGTCACCATACATCTGGAGCTGCCAGCACTGTGGTAACAGCAAGCCAAGAACAAATGCAAGGTCAAAAATAGAATTAGTGCATAGCTGTGCACTAAGAGGATACAATCACATCATTGTCCAGTTGCAGCTGCCACCACTATTGGCAGCAGCAGGCAGTGAATGTATGTAAAGTCAATAATATGTGCATGCACCTAGATAAACGATGCCAGAAAACAATAACTTTGTTGTGCAGAAAAAAGTGCCACTGTGGCAATAAACATATGTATGGTCATAGATCACTAATACACAGCACACTCTTAATGCTGCTCATAAAAAGAGTGCAATGGCATCATCATACAACAACAGCTACTAGCAATGTCAGCAGCAGCAGCAGTTACAAATACATGTACATGCGTAATCTTGCACAAATAGTAGGTATGTATACATACAGGAGTGATGGCCAGCTAACATCATGTTCAAACTAGTATTTTTTGTGCAAAGTACATGTTTTCACTACATATTTTGGTACATCATGCATTAAAGTATGACAATATAAATTATTCAGGCTTTCCCAGTTCTTCATCAACAGTCTCATCCTTAAATTTACATCCATGATCAATCAATCATCAGTCTATAGATCAATCCATCAACACCATCAACATGTACATCCTCCCACTTGTTCTGATTGCTTTTACCTCTCATGTACAACTATTGTAATACCCATAGGTCTGTGCCAGACATATTGATCATAATGTGTGTAGTATATCAGTGCCAGTCATTGCCCATTGGCAATATTGATCAGGGTTGGCAATGATTAAATCAAAATGATTAAATCATGTGATTAAATCACTTGATTTTTTTATTAAAAATTAATTAAATTAAAAATTAATCAATTCTAAAATATCTCTGGTTTGTCACTATGGCCGCCACTGCACAGAGACACCCCGGTGAGAAGGGGCAATCTACTCGAAGAAGCTTCCACATCCAGCAACAAAATTTGTAGCTAAATTAATAAAAATCTTGCAGGATACTAGGAATAGTGGTGTAAAGTTTAACATTTTTACTATCTATGTGGCATAAAGCAAATTAAAGATCATAAATTAACTACCTCTAAAAATCCCTGAAAAAAAGTGTGAAAAGTGAGATTTTGGAAAAGTAACTTTGCTAAGGTCTATGGCAAAAAATATATTTGCTGTATTAAAAAATTTTACTTACATAGAAGTTGCACATATGTGTTGGCTTGAAAACATGACTGACAGAATTTGTGTATCTCGAGAATTTGTGTGCACGACGGGGTAATGAGGGACACCCCCTAAAAACGCATTTACAGTAGAACCTCAGCTAGCAAAGGCTCCAGTTAACCAAAAAATTAATCAACAACAAAGAATTTTGATTACAGTTAACTTGTTTAGCAAAAAATTCATTTAACAAAAAATTAATAAATCATTGGTCACCACAAAATTGTGTATAGAATATCATTTAGTGCTCCAAAAAATAGGATGGTTGCCATTAAAATTTTCCTTTCCATTTCAGGTACTGTAAAATGGGGTAACTTTGACCACTTTTTTTTTCATAATGATGCAATTTTTTTACTTGATAAGTTAAACTTAAATTGAAACATGCAAAATACAGGTCTATACTCTAGCTTTGCTCATCATAAATTGCTGGCTCCTACCTCTCATAGTTTTGATGTAATTTTAAAAAAAGTGATGGTCTTTGTTACCCCAGCTCTTGGGGTTTCTTTGACCGGGTGGTAAAATCAATTTTATTTTTTGTAAAATAACTCCAAATAACTCCAGGTTGTGTTGCATTGTAGTAGAACCTGTCTCTTATACACATCTAGATGTGTATAAGAGACAGTTNAATCATATTTACATGCTGTCTCTTATACACATCTAGATGTGTATAAGAGACAGGTGTTACGTAGCCTCAGTATTAGGCCTTTGATGGCCATTGACAAAATTTTTCTATGTCAAATCATTTTTGAGTTTTGGAGGTTTTTGTTAAAAAAACAAAAAGTGGTCAAAGTTAACCCGCCGGTCAAAGTAACCCCATTTTATGGTATGTTTTATGCTTTTTTTTTTGTTATAGTGAAATGTGAATTCGTTTGACTCAATTAAAATGGTACAAATTTACAAGCTGTCCTGTAAGCTTACAAGTTACAGATACAGAAGAAATGCTACATAGCTCCTGCTGATATGAAGCTTGCAATGGACAAGCAACAAGGTCATTGTAAATGCTCAATGGCATGTCCATGGGCATGGGGCATCCTGGCATGGATACAGATCACATCAATAATTTGGTAATCAGGTAATGTATAGTATGGATATGGGAATATCATATCAATAAATGAATAATGGAAAAACAAGTAAAAATGCAGAAAATGTCACTTATTCTACATCAACAAAGAAAGAGGAGGACTTCGGAGTTCAGAACTTCAGGTTCAGAGTACTGTTACTGTGTTTAGCCAAGTGTGTTAGTAATGATTAATGAATGAGTACGCTTTGCAATTTGCATGCTTCAAATGTTTTAAAATTGACTATTATTTCAAGTGTCCTGTCCTGGATTACCCCATTTCCAACTTCCCAGGGCCAGGGTTTAATTCAAGACGCTTTTCTTTTGTGTCTGGCACAGTGGTGGGCACAGTTCCGCTAATCCGCTAACCGCTAATTAGCAAAGCTAACTTTTTCCTTATTGGATTTGCTGTTCAGTTAACTTTGAAAACCTTTAGCGGACCAATTAGCTTCCGCTAAATTTAGTTCCGCTAACTGGAAGTCCGCTAAAAATGTTTAAAAATCTCTGATTTAATGCTAAGTATCGTAAGCCATGTGCCACGCCCACACCTATACTGCAGTCCTCTGGTGGACGCAATGCTGGCAGGCATCACGAAAAGGTTTGGGCCCCTCCTAGAAGACAAGGAGTGCCAGCTGGCAGCGGCCTTCCACCCTAAGTTTCGCCTGTTCTGGCTGGAAAAGCATAATCACAGCCATCTCAGCAGGGTACAGAAGGCCATGGAGACCGCCGTGGAGACAGCCCTGAGGGAGACCGTTGAGGAGGGCAGCAGCACCAT